CTTTGTTAGTAATTCTATCGCTTGAAGTGGAGTCGAAAGAGGTGAGTTTTCAGTCTGCGCCGGAAGATGTGCAAGCTATCTGCTGTCCTGATGTCAATGGGGAGCTCATTCCACCATTTTGGAGCCAGGACAGCAAACCCACGTGTTTTTGCTGATGAGAACTTGGGTCCCCCTTGCAGCGAGGGTGCAGCGAGCTGTTTGGCTGATGCAGAGCGGAGTGCACGCGCTGGGGTGTACGGTTTAACCATGTCCTGGATGTAGGAAGGGCCAGATCCATTCACAGCATGGTGCATGTGATATTTGAGTGTTTTATTTTTTAATTCATTTGCAAAAATTATTTGAACACTTTTTTCACTTTGTCATTATGGGGTATTGTGTCTAGAATGTTGAGAAAAATAATGAATTTAATCAATTTTGAAATATGGCTGTAACATAACAAAATGTGGAAAAAGTGAAGGGATATGAATACTTTCCGGATGCACTGTTACAAGTAGAAGTTTAGAATTTAAAATGTTTAATCTTAAATCAAATGAAAAAAACATCAGAATATACCTAAAGTGCCAAAAGTAAAAGTATTTATTTTGCATTTCAGAAGGATTTATATAAAATGACTGCTGCAGAATATCCCAACCTATAGCTATGTTAATGTTTATTCATTTTATTTTTATTTTGTAGTACCTCCAGTAAATATACTTTTTACTGTCTCTCACACTGATCTAAACATTTAAGTCCAGAACAGGAGAAAACATTTATTTTCTTATTCTTCGTATTCTCTTCCGCCATATTTGTGTGCCTTTTTAAGTAGTAGTTCACAGTGAGTGTAGAACAAAGTGTTGTAAAGCCCAGCCCTGGGTGGTAAAAGGTACATCTGGAGAAGAAACACTGCCCTGTTTGAACGTGCTCCCATCCATAAAGAACATTCATGTCCCTTTGAATAAAACTCCTGTGTGGACTCTGCTCTCACACTGCACACTGAGCACATGTTTTAGTCATCCAGCTCAGGTCACATGATGCTTCTGAAGACAGCTGTCAGCGGAGGGGCATGGGGATCTGTCCTACAGGGGAGAGACCTGACAGGAGTCCTGGTGACACACACATGCATCATATGGAAAACATACAAACTTGTGACTTTTGCTCTGGAGACTTCATGAATCACTCTCATGTGTGCATGTGATGAGGTCATCTGCTGCTGGTTCACTGGAGTGAATAAGAAATGGACATTTTGACCAGTGGTGTAATGTATTAAAGTACATTTACTCAAGTACTGATTTTGAGGTACTTGTGCTTTACTTGAGTATTTCCATGTTACATACTTTTTACTCCACTACATTCTCGAAGCACTTTGTACTCAAATACATGTATTCAACAAAAGCAGTAACTCTACAGATTCAGACTATAAGCTAATATGAAATATACATTAACAAATACATAAAATATATGATATATAATAATGGTTAAGATATCCAACATATATTATATTAAGTTATTAAATGAGCTCCAGCTGTGATGAACACATGAATGTATCAATAATAATCCATTTCATATGATTCTGAACTGGGTCGTTATGCTACAATTTATTCTTTTGGTACTTTATTTGAATGCTGTTACTTAAGTAAGATTTAGTATGCCGGAGTTTTACTTGTAACAGAGTTGTTTTACACTAGTATTTCTACGTTTCCCACAATGTTTCCGAACTCTTTAGTGAAGTCCTTGTTTTGTGCCCTGTGTGTGTGTGTGTGTGTGTGTGTGTGTCAGGTACTCTGAGTGTGTTGGTGTCCTTTGCCTTCATCTTCAACCAGTGTCTGGGCTGTGGCCCCCAGACCCCCCAGTGGGCCAGTCTGACCTTCTTCCTCCCCTTCATCATCGTCTTTTCAGTTTGGCTGGGCCGCTACCCAGATCTCTCACCTGTCACTCATCCCAGAGCTGGTTCAGCTGTGAGCACGCTAAGTGGAGCTCACGGCATACAGGTGGACACACCACACACACACACACACACACACATACATACAGAGGTGTAAATACATTTACTGAAGTACAATTTATTATTTCAATTTGTTGCTACTTATTTCTTCTACCCCACTACAATTCAGAGGTCAATTGTGTACTTTTACTCCACTACATGTATTAATACCATATACTTTTGCACTAAAACAAAGGGAAGGAGTTGTTGTTATTTATAGGTTATTATGCTATGATTTTACTGTTTGGGCCCCACTTGAGATCAGGTGTGTGTTGTGTGTGCTAGCATTACTATACTTGTGGGGACCTATGACCTAAATCTGTCTACACAGTCACGTGTGGGGGACTCGCCTCCCTTATGGGGACAAATTGGAGGTCCCCATGAGGGGAATCATTCATTTTAGGGTGAAGACTTGGTTAGGTTTAGGGTTAGGGTAAGGTTAAGGGTTAGGGTTAGGCATGTGTTGGTTATGGTTATGGTTAGGATAAGTCTCCAGGAAATGCATGTAAGTCAATGTAAAGTCCCCTGAAGTGATGTATACATGGTGTGTGTGTGTGTGTGTGTGTGTGTGTGTGTGTGTGTGTGTGTGTGTGTGTGTGTGTGTGTGTGTGTGTGTGTGTAGGTATGCATTCACAGTGATAGCCAACATCACAGTGTATGCAGTGGCGTACCTGCTGTTCCACGTGCAGGCGGGGGGGAGGATGAAGACGCTCTGGGACCCGTAGATATTCCCGTCTTCAGGGTGAGGACCACTTCTAATTATACTGACTTTACAGTTACAGAGTGTGGTGGGGGTTCTGAAAATCCCCACTAGTCATTAAAATACCATGACACACACAAAAGGCCCAGTTTCCCTCGCTGCAGAGCTGGGATCAGTAGATTGTTGCTGGAGCAGCAGCCAGTATTGGAAAGTAACCAAGTACATTTATTCAAGAACTATACTTACAAGTATAATTTTGAGGGTACTTCAACTTAACTTGATTATAGAAGCCAATATTGTACAACACATTAAGTTGACGAAACACTCGAGTCAAATGTAATTAAAGTCAGATCCACTTGTGTCTTAGACGGGGCCGTGATATCATAACCTGTTAATGTACGCATTCAAACACTGTTTCTGTTACCAGCTGTATTCCACCTTGCAGGTGCAGCTACTGTATGTGGCTTTTATCCTGGATAAAGTGTTTAAGTCATGGATGTTTAAAGTTTAACTTCTTCATATGTCTAATATTAAAGTTGACTTTTCATTCAGGAAGTATGACGCTGCGCTGTCAGTACGCTTCTCCATGTTTGTAATTGGTCAAATGTTGCTAACTCCGCCCCTTTCAATGTGAACGCGCACTCAGCCGGACAGAGAAACCCTGGCTTGAGTTACCGAGTTGATAACCAGCATCGTAGGACCGCTTAGCGAGAGCGCGTTTGTTTTGGGTTAGTTAAGATAACTCAAACATATCCAGGGTCTGTTGAACTGGCTTCGTGGTGCAGGCCTCTGGTTGGATCTCCACTTCCTCTCACCATTATGAGAAACAATATGAGACGGTTTTGGAAACCAAAGCCCCCGCTATAACTCTGGTGCTATATTCACCCTCTGCCAGTCATTGTCCTCCCACTGTTCTGTGCAATAGAGTGGTAGTATGTTTTGAATCCCTCTCCCACAGAGGAAGTGAAACAGACAGATGTCATCACAAACCTTCCTGTCCTGTGTGATTTCAGAACCTGGCGCTGATAGTGCTGGGCATCGGGGCGCTCTTCTCCCTCTTCTTCCACCTGGGAATCAAAGAGAAGAGCTCTGGAGCAGCAGGCAAGGCGGGAGGAGAGGAGGGGAGGAAGAGGGTAGAGGAGGAGGAAGAGGAGGAGGAGGGGGAGCGCAGACCCCTGCTCCCTGCTCCCCCCTCGTCCCTGCTGCAGTGGAAGTGTTGGCTGCAGCAGCCTTCTTTTTACCAGGTGGGAACATCTGGACCTGGAGCAGCTGTTCTGTGTTTGGACTGACAGAAAGATGTTTTTAGATCATTATAGCTATGAAGACACAAACTCTAAAGCAAGAACCCTGCAGGTACATTTCCATCTGTAAACCCAACCAGATGAAGTGCTACTGCTTTACTTCCAGCCAAATACAGAAGAGATCATTATTTGGAATCAAAGATTCAGTTCCAACACATTGGAGAGCAGGTTCCAGTCTGCAGGATGTGTAGACCCTCCGTTGATATCCATGGGGAGCTGGTTCCACCATGATGGGGCCAGGATAGCAAACAATAACTAGCAGTGTTTTATTTCAGCAGCGTGTTGCTTTGTTTAGTCCCAGGCTGTGTGACAGCTGTCCCTGTCTCTCTGCAGGTGGCCTTACTCTACATGTCTACCAGGTTAATAGTCAATCTGTCTCAGACATACATCTCCATGTATCTCATCAACACTCTGGGGCTGCCCAAGGTAAACACAAAGTCACCCCAATCATCCTTTTTATAAATATATATCAATATATTCCAGTTCATTGTGATGCTAATGCTAACGTGGAGCAGCCGCTCACTGTTTCTCATCTCTTTTTGTTCCTCCCACCAACAGAAGTTCATCGCCACCATCCCGTTAGTGATGTTCCTGAGTGGCTTCCTGTCCTCCTTCATCATGAAGCCTGTCAGTAAACTCATTGGCAAATCTGTAAGTAAGACTGGCTACACACTTTCTTTTAATATCATTTACTTTTTTCACAGACATGTTTTTTCCCATGAAACAAAACGAAAATGTATTCTGATTATATACTTTCACCTTTAATCTAGAATTTCTGAATTACTGCAACAATCAGGACTATAAAGAAATATGTTGTCCACTCCATTTACTTCCTTCAGTATTGAATAGTGAACAACACTCACTAAATATCTGTACAGATAATGCGCTGCGTTCAGAGCTTTAGATAAACAGAGCCAGACAAAGAGTTGACTGACAGGTTCTCTGTAGTCAGCAGAGTGCTTCCTCATCAGATCCACACTATCACTGAGGGATACGTAAACAAACCGCTGATCCATCTCACCTGTCACACGGTGTGTCTCTCTCCTGATTGGTCCAGCTCACCTACTTCCTAGGCCTGCTGCTGATCATGGCCTTCTCCTACTGGGTGCTGCTGGAGGGCCAGATGGGTCAGCAGGTGTACGGGGCCGCGGTGCTGCTGGGGGCGGGGTCCGCCACCATCCTGGTCATATCACTGTCCATGACAGCGGAGCTCATTGGAGGGCAGACGGTACTTTGTGTGTGTGTGTGTGTGTGTGTGTATGTATGTATGTATGTATGTATGTCTGTATGTATGTGTGGAGAGTGAGAGAGTGAGAGACCTTCTACATCAGGGGTGTCAAACTCAATTTCATCACGGGCCACATTCGCATTATGGTTGCACTCAAAGGGCCGGTTGTAACTTTAAGACTACATAAAAATACATAAATATTTAATATATATAAACTAATGTATATATTACATTATTGCCTTTGCATTGGATTATTATCGGATAGGGTAATAACTTCATAATTAACTACTTCTGAAAGCAGAAGTCATATTTCAGATGCATTGTGGGACATGTAGTTTATGGGCAACGTGCTTCTGTAAATCGCCATGTAACAGTATTACAAACATATTATATTCTTTGCAAGCTCTTGTGGGGCCACATGAAATGAAGTCGCGGGCCGGATTTGGCCCCCGGGCCTTGAGTTTGACACCCCTGTTCTACATGATCCACTATCTTCTTCCACCCGCAGCAAAGTGGAGCGTTTGTGTACGGAGCCATGAGCTTCACTGATAAGGTGGCCAATGGAATCGCTGTGATGATCATTCAGGTTCTGCATCCCTGCAGTAAGTACACACACACACACACACACACACACACACACACACACACACACACACACACCACACACACACACACACCACACACACACACACACACACACCACACACACACACACCACACACACACACACACACACACACACCACACACACATTAACACTTCTTATCAGGTGACATAATAAAATGAATAAACCAGAAATACGCTGTATTAAACTTTCTGCTGTAACTCAATCCCCCAAATGTATGGAAGTGCAATATTAAATACCTCACTGCAGTAATGCCATTTACAAAGTGAGTGTAATAAGTCTTAGGTCTAAATGTAACACTCTTGATCAACTATACAACACTACCATGCATATGATGAATTCAAACAGTTATGCAAACAAATAATTAAACAAATTAAATAATATGATGGTATTTGAAATCTTTTAACAGCTGCTCTGCTGATCTCTCGCTCTCTCTCTCTCTCGCTCTCTCTCTCAGTACGGTGGTATGCTGCCCGGACTGTGTGTGGTTCTATCATAACGTCATGGTGATAGTGACGGGGGGCGTGGCCGTCGTCGCCGCTCTGGCGCTCTGCTCCATCCTCATCTGGCCAATCAGGATCCGACCCCGTGAGTCTCTCCACCTCACTGATAGAGAGTGAAATAAGGCTGTGCCCTAACTACTCCTTCCCTCTGTGTGTGTGTAGGTGGTCTGCCAGAGGATGCAGCCATTGTAAACTAGCAGCCCCCCCCACCTCTTTTACGGACAACGTTCACCCTGCGAAACAACAGGACCACTGCAGTCAGCAGGAGGAGCTTCACTTGAAAGACTCTTCTGTAGTTTGCAGGAACATTCAGCCCTTTCTGATGAAGTCAGAGGAGAGCAGGGAAACCAAAGGAACTGAGAAGAAGGGAGACTTTTTTTCAATTTCTCACTCAACCCACATTTATAAACATGATCTTCTAATCTAAGTGAAATCAAAGGTTTATATATAATCAGTACACAACACAGTCAAAGTAATAGAAGTCCCAGATCAGCAGGAAGCAGCGTTTCCTCACATTTAACCGTATAAACTATAAAGCTTACTTTATTTTCACAGAAGCAAACTAACACATAACAGTTGTATTACTTTTGAACTGTGGGGTTGTGAGCACATGGACTTGCTTCACTACAGAGCTGTGAGCAGGAACATGCTTTAAACATGATGAGAAAACAGGGTCTGGTTTTTAGTTCAAGTATTGTTCATTGCATTGGACAACACGGAGCCCGAGAGGAAAGCCTGGCATGCTGGGGATGCTTTAATAAAGGGAACCGCTGCTTCACTAAAAGGTCATCAGAGCTAAAGAAGAGGACGCTAAAGGGAACCAGATCCAGTGTGGTGCGTTCACAGACACTGCACAACAAGCAGGGATCATTTGAACACAGTTCTTTGCAACGCTAGCGAGTTTCTTTTGATGTGACTACATTCTAAACTTCATTCCAAGACTCTACGTGCTAAGGCTTCAGTACACTAGAGAAGGACACATTGATAGAGCACTACATTGAAACAGACTGTCAGCAGGTACAGACGACTCTAAACAGGAAGCTTCCTGAGCATCAGAGAAGTCTCACTCAGAATCACTTTACATACACGACACTGTCAATATGTTTACAGTTTGAGTTGGAATCATCATGGAACAACTCATCATGATAAGATCATATTTCTATTGTAATAATTCCTTTGCATTGTTTTACCCTTTATAATCGCAAACCTAAAGGAACATATATAAGGGATATTTTTATAATCACAGATGAACTTGAAAATCAGAATTGTATTACATTTGAATGAATGTGAAAGGGATCAAGTGATATTTACTAGGTGAATGCCACTAAGGGATTTACACTGGTGATGTTCAGAACAGAGACTTCTGTGCTGCTGTTGTTTTAGAAAGAGACACGGATTAAACATTTGTATGCTGTGCAACTGGAAATGTGTGTGTTTGCCTTCAGTCATTCTCTGCCTTATAGGGGGGGGGGGGGGGGGGGGGGGTCCCTCTCCTGTAGTGTGTTATAGGTTTTAGTGCATGTTAATGGTCTGCAAAGGCTCAAATCCCTTCGTCCCCTCCAGAGGGACTTTCTCCCCCCCACCCCCTAACACTAAATACTGATATACACCTGAACATGATTCAACCAAGCAAAGACAATCATTCCTATCTGGAGTACATGCACTTCTCAGATCTGTGATGTCTTCGTCTAACACTGATTGTGACTGCTGGTGGGAAATAACAGGAAGCAGCTTTTTATTAAACATTGTCTTATTTATTTTTGTAAATAAACAAAACACATAATTTGAGCAGACCCTCTGCTCTTAAGGCATCAACATTATACTTTAGACTTCCACAGATTCAAGCCTTTAATACTGAACCTCAGATCAGAGGTGGACTCTTATTGGAGCAGGCAGTAATGGGAAGTAACTAAGTACATATATTCAAGAACTATACTTAAGAATCATTTTGACGTGCTTCAACTTTACAATATTGTACATTTATTTGACAACATTAGTTAGTTTGCTCGTCCCTATTATTCATACTAAATATAAATCAACTAATAAATGATGATCTGCTTAGCAACATAACAAGTCAATAAAGTTAGCTCCTACCTTTACAGCCGCAAAATGAAAAGGGTGGACACATTCATTGATCACTAATGATCCAGTCCAGTGTTCAATACATGGATTTACTGCTAAATGAGCACCTTTTGTTTTGGTGCTTCAAACATATCGATGCTTTTGGTACTTCAAACATATCGATGCTTTTGGTACTTCAAACATATCGATGCTTTTGGTACTTCAAACATATCGATGCTTTTGGTACTTCAAACATATCGATGCTTTTGGTGCTTCAAACATATCGATGCTTTTGGTACTTCAAACATATCGATGCTTTTGGTACTTCAAACATATCGATGCTTTTGGTACTTCAAACATATCGATGCTTTTGGTACTTCAAACATATCGATGCTTTTGGTACTTCAAACATATCGATGCTTTTGGTGCTTCAAACATATCGATGCTTTTGGTACTTCAAACATATCGATGCTTTTGGTACTTCAAACATATCGATGCTTTTGGTACTTCAAACATATCGATGCTTTTGGTACTTCAAACATATCGATGCTTTTGGTACTTCAAACATATCGATGCTTTTGGTACTTCAAACATATCGATGCTTTTGGTACTTCAAACATATCGATGCTTTTGGTACTTCAAACATATCGATGCTTTTGGTACTTCAAACATATCGATGCTTTTGGTACTTCAAACATATCGATGCTTTTGGTACTTCAAACATATCGATGCTTTTGGTACTTCAAACATATCGATGCTTTTGGTACTTCTTTTAAGTAAAAAACAAAAATCCAGGAATTGTAGAAGATCATTTCTACACCGTGATATTAGTAACTTTACTTTAGTAAAAGATCTGAAGTTTTCTCCCGCCTATGGAGGCAGCGGTCTGTCAGCACAGTCCATCATGTTGCTGCATAAATTAAAGAGTCTCTGCTGAGCTGCTCTGCTGCGTTCAGGGCGCGCTCGCTGGCGTTCAGGGCGCGCTCGCTGGCGTTCAGGGCGCGCTGGCGTTCATCTTCTCCTGGCAGCTGTCCCACAGCTGCAGCAGCCGATTGTCTTTGTTGGCGCAGAAGTCGGTGAAGTCTCGCAGCAGCCGGTCGGCCAGCCTCTCGTCCCCCAGCACCCCCGTCCTCCAGGCCTTAGTCAGCATGGTGTTGTAGGCCCAGTAGTAGCCCACCCGCTCCTCGCTGCCGTACGGCCCCTGGCTGTTGGAGCTGTTGGAGTTCCTGCGCCGCCGCTGCTGCCCGCTGGAGAACTTCCTCCTGGAGTAGGGCAGCTGCAGGAACACGGTGCCTGGCAGACAGGAGGCAGGTGGGATGTAAGTACATGTACTTAAGTTCTGTTCCTAAGTAAGGTACTTGGGCTGTCCGCTGACTAGTAGACCCCTCTACCCCCCCCCCCCCCCCCCCCCCCTTTTCAACTCTAAATCTCCAACTTTATACTTTTACTCCACTACATTTTGTTGGCTAATGTTTTACTTTTGACTCCACTATTGCACATTGTACACATTTAGTTACAGATTTCACTTATGACATCATATAAATTGACACACGTTACATTACATGATTAAAGGTTGAGCTACCCAGTAATTGAAATAAACCCCACATTTATCAAGTGCAACATCCAAGTGCACCAATCATTTTAATACAAAAATATATGGTGCTTAAATGGTCCATTCTGCAATTCTGCACTTTTGGTTCTTAAAGTATTTTTTGACACTAATAGATTTTTACTTTTACTTCTTCAATCACTGTTAAATCCTGTGGGTTTCCAGGAATAGTGTGTGTGTGTGTGTGTGTGTGTGTGTGTGTGTGTGTGTGTGTGTGTGTGTGTGACTAACCTGTGACGTGGACATACTGGGGCTTGTTCTCAGACGGGAAGTTGAAGGCAGAAGCTGAAACCTTGTCGTGCAAGAAGCCGAATCTGTGAGAGGAAGAAGCACAACATGTCGCTCAGAAACACAGAAATTATATTTGGTCTTGGAAGTTTTCAGATGCTTTACTTGAGTAAAAGTACCAATACATTCATGTCTGCGAAGTTTTTTTTTTCAAAATACCAAACAGATCATGCATTTTAGCCATGCCTCATTTCGCTCTATTTGCTCTATTTTAGCCCTGTTTTTGCAGGGGCTTCTTCGCTGCTTTTGTGGCAGACTACAGCGCCACCTACAGGCCTGGCATATGTACTACAGCGTCTCCAGCGCTTTCAAACGGCAATGGCTGTGTCAAATAGCTGTCTCCTCCTGATAGGTGGAGAGTTGCCCATATAGGCGGAGCTCCTCGTTTCTGACGTCAGATAATTTTCAAATCTGGATCAGTCTGTATCAGATCCGTTGCAGCCCTGTTTTCAGAGATTTGGGTATGGAGGAAAAGAGAGAGGGTTGTGTTTTCTGATACTTGGTGAGTTCCCTGACACACCGGGGACACATATTCATGTATAAAAGATGTACAAAGGTGCATTTTGCATGATAGGTCCCCTTTAAAGTAAGAAAAGTGAGAGAACTCCAACCAGAGCTTAGGAATACTCTGTTACAGTAAAAGTCCTTCAATCAAAATAAAAAAAGTTAAAGCCTTTTATTGTCAATGTACAACAAAGTGTGCAATAACATACATAACATTAATCACACGGCAGTAGGACAATAACATACACAATCATACAGGGGGAATAGATAGTTCAAAATGTTGATATAAAAATTATTTTTAATTTTTAAAGTGCATTTAAAATGTATATGAGGTGTATATGTGTGGAGATGGTTACGGTTACTGCATTAAGTGTGGTGGTTAAGCAGTTTTTGAGTGTTTGTCAGTGACTTGAAGCTCCTGTCTCTCCTCCCAGAAGGCAGGAGAGAGAACAGTCTGTGACCTGGGTGAGAGCTGTGCTTTAGTATTTGATTTGCTCTGCTGAGGCAGCGGGAGGTGGAGATGTGTTCCAGAGAGGGCAGGGGGCAGCCGATGGTTTTCTCTGCCATCCTGATCACTCTCTGCAGGGCTTTCTTGTCCTCAGCTGAGCATCCTGCATACCACCCCGAGATGGAGTATGACAGCACGCTCTCCATGGTCGCCCGGTAGAAGGACACCAGCAGCTTCTTGTTCAGTCGGTTTCTCCGAAGCACCCTCGGGAAGTGTAGTCGCTGCTGGGCCTTCTTAACTGCTGCAGTGGTGTGTGCTGTCCAGCTGAGGCTCTCCGATATCTGTACCCCCAGGAACTTAAAGGTGGAGACCCTCTCCACTCTCTCTCCATTGAGGTGAAGGGGGGCGGGTTCTGGATGGTGCTTTCTGAAGTCTATGATGATTTCTTTTGTTTTGCTTGTGTTCAGAGACAGGTTGTTTGCTGAACACCACACAGACAGCTTCAGGATCTCGTCTCTGTATGACGACTCGTCGTCTCCCTTATATATTTGGCCGACCACAGTGGTGTCATCTGCACATTTTATAATGGAGTTTGGAGGGGTGAATGGGAGAGCAGTCGTGTGTGTAGAGAGTGTAGAGTAGAGGGCTCAGCACGCAGCCCTGCAGGGAGCCAGTGCTGAGGGTGCGGGTGGAGGAGCAATAAGGGCCTATTTTCACTGTCTGAGGACGGTCTGTAAGGAACTTGTTTACCAGACGGCAGGCGCATATGATGGAGGGGAAACCTAGGCTTGATAGTTTTTCGACTAGTATGTCAGGTATGATGGTGTTAAAAGCTAAAATCGACAAACAGCATCCTGATAAAGCTGCCTGGGACTTCTAGGTGGCTCACAGCTGTGTGAAGGACCGTGGCGATGGCATCATCTGTGGATCTGTTGGCTCTATAGGCGAACTGATGAGGGTCGAGGGAGGGTGGGAGGCTGGCTTTGATGTAGTTGGCTATCAGTCTTTCGAAACATTTCATCACCGCCGATGTTAGGCTATGGGCCTGTAGTCGTTGAGCTCTCTGACTGGTGTCTTTTTGGGGACAGGAATGATGGTAGCCGTCTTCACACAGGATTGAATGCAAGCTTGTGACAGGGACAGGCTGAATATCCTGGTCAGGGCCCCTGAAAGATGGTCAGCATAAGCTTTTAGTACTTTGCCGAGTACTCCATCGGGTCCTGCAGCTTTTCCAGGATTCACAGACCTCAGTGTCTGCTTCATCTTTGAGAGTGGGAGGTGGTATGGAGCTGGTAGTTGGCAGGGACAGGGGCAGGGTAGAAAAGTGGGGGGGTCTGCTAGCCTCAAAGCGGGCAAAGAAGTGGTTTAGTTCCTCTGCAAGGTGGGCGTCAGCTCTAGTAGTGTCAGATGCTTTGCCCTTATAGTTGGTTAGCTGGTGAAGGCCCTGCCAAACGCACCGTGTGTTGTTATGAGCGAGATTCTCCTGCACTTTTCCCTTGTAGTCCTCCTTTGCAGCCTTGATGCCTCTCCTCAGATTCGCCCTTGCCAAGCTGTACTGGGCTGCGTCCCCCGACGTGAAGGCTGTTTCACGGGAACTCAGGAGAGACCGCACCGCTCTTGTCATCCATGGTTTTTGGTTTGGGTAGACCCGAATGCGTTTTTCCACAGTTACAGTGTCTGTGCAGAACTTGATGTAGGATAAGACAGCCTCTGTGTGTTCCTCCAAATCTGTCTGTTCAAATATGTCCCACGCTGTCTGTTCGAAGCAGTCTTGCAGTTGTGAGAGTGCCCCCTCGGGTAAAATGTTACTCAAGTAAAAGTAGAAAAGTATCAGCATTCAAATATAGGTAAAGTAGCGACAGTAAAAGCAGTCATTGTGCAGATTGGTCCATTTCAGAATAATATATATGATATGTTTTATAATGATTGATCATCAAAGTGTTCTCAAACGTGGTAGGCACGCGCTTGAACTGCGAGCGCCGGAGCCTTGCAGCGGCGAAACTGTTGCGCGCTTAATTGCGCCGCATTTGCGGTTCAGATGAGGCCCCCTCCGCAAGATGAGGCCCCCTCCGCGAGGTGAGGCCCCCTCCACGAGGTGAGGCCCCCTCCGCTAGGTGAGGCCCCCTCCGCGAGGTCCCCTCCGCGAGATGAGGCCCCCTCCGCTAGGTGAGGCCCCCTCCACGAGGTGAGGCCCCCTCCGCTAGGTGAGGCCCCCTCCGCGAGGTCCCCTCCGCGAGGTGAGGCCCCCTCCGCGAGGTGAGGCCCCCTCCGCGAGGTGAGGCCCCCTCCGCTAGGTGAGGCCCCCTCCGCTAGGTGAAGCCCCCTCCGCTAGGCGAGGCCCCCTCCGCTAGGCGAGGCCCCCTCCGCTAGGCGAGGCCCCCTCCGCGAGGCGAAGCCCCCTCCGCGAGGCCCCCTCCGCGAGGCGAGGCCCCACGCAGTCTGCGTGCTCTGCGTGTAGGGAGGGGCGTGCCTGCACATACACATAAATGACGATTAAAGACACAAAGCCTCCACCTGTACAGGATGGCCTCCTGGAACAGCTGCATCCTGTCCCAGTACGTCTCCGGTTCAAAGCCTGAGAGAGGAATTAAAGCAGATGTGGTGACTGAGCTCCTGAACGCATCACACACACACACATGAGCACACACTCGTCAGTCTGACCTTCAAACAGGTTGTCGTTGGGGTTCTTCAGCAGACAGTGGATGTTCAGAGGGATGAAGAGCTGGGCCCTCAGAGGGTCCCCGTACAGGTAGGAGGTCAGAGCGAAGGGGACCTCCAGCACGGGGACCAGCAGGAAGCCGCAGGACGCCGCTTTCCTGTGCCAGCCTTGAACCTGACGGAGAAGACATGATTCAAATGAGTTTACTGTTGAACCGGAGCTCTGTGTAGATCTGGCCCTTCCTTTTTAAAGTTCTCTAGGAGACCCCAGCCACACAGCAGTGATTCTTATTCTGTTCACAAAATATACAAATCCTCCCTTAAACGTTGACACTGCAGGACTGAGCGGTTCTTCTTCTCTACATTCAGACTGATTTACTAAGAGGAGGCAACCCCTGGTTTGTTAAGCTAATATAGAAGTAACCATCTTTAGTGCGTCTCTTTTTGATAAATATTTAATAGATATCAATCAAATCGAGTGAAGACACTGTGAAAGCAAGTTTGACAAGGGCCTTCTTTAACTTGTTGGAGGTTGGTAAAGGGTTTAACACCCTTCTCTTCTTGATTTCTCACATACTTGAATAAAATAATACATTTTTCATTTCCTCAATATTTCCTCTATCACACCCTTTATATAAACACTCTATGGTTACCACACAATCAAAGTATTTCTAGTTAAAAAGTTGTATAAAGACTTTTTATTTTGTTTCTAGCGAAAGCTGTGCAGATTTGTATCCTAATGTGAGTTCTATGGTGGTGCAGGAATAAGTCCTCTAACCTGGAAATGAGTTAGCATTTTAGCCCTTTCGTTTCTTTTGAATTTGTTTTTGGTTGTTAGCCTGAAATAAGGTCTGTGGTAAACATAAACTGAAGAGATTTTCACCATTTTTTTATGACATCAAATATGTCAGAGTGTCTTTAAAACAGTGGTTGCTAACAATTTACTAAATGAGACGACTCAACGTCATCACAGAAAACATTAGCCGCCTTTAGCTTAGCGCTGGTGATGTGCAGCCGTGCTACCGTGATGTCGTTTTTTCTATAGCCTAACGTTTGGTGTTACCATCTCAAAGAGCACTGCGGCAGTGACAGCCATCCAGTGAAGCTTGATCTCGAAGGCAGCGTTGAGGGAGAAGTTTCCATGGTAATAACAGCTGCACCACTCTGTGCGGTCGCTGCGGTTGTTCACGTCCACATCCAGAGAGACAGTCTTCTGCTCCGGGACCGTGGCAGCTGGGGGAGGGAGGGAGGGATTGAGGGGGGAGGGGGGAAGACAGGAGGCAAAGGAAACAAAAGACGGGGAGATGGACGGCATGATATGCAGGCAGGAGGAGGCGCGGTAAGCATGGATAAGAGAAAGTTAAACCAGCATCAATGTCGCCATTATCCCAGCTGTAGGAGAGGTTTCATGGTGTCATAAAGAGCAGTTCAAACCCAGCTCTGAATGAAGCTGGAGTCTACTGCAGGGTGTCAAACATACGGAGGACTTGAAACACTTTAACTGCAATTTTCAAAACTTCAATCTATCCATCCATCCGTCCGTCCGTCCGTGTCGATCTATCTGGCCCCTGGACTAAAATGAGTTTGACAGCCCTGCTCAAATGAATGATGTCAGCATCTTATTAGGACTATTCCAGGAAACCAGTCCAAGGTGTAAGATAACAAACTGAGAAAGCATTTATCTTGCAGAGTTGTCGCTTTAAAGATGTAAATATGCTGCGTGCAGAGTGAAAATAAAGCTCTGAAAGGGAGAGAAGAATGGAGCAGAAGCTGGAGCTCTGTCACAGCGTGCCGTGTTGCTGTGACAGAGCTTTCTGCTGCAGAGCGACAGGTGAGGACTCACACACCACAGCACTACTGAACCACAGCCACTAACACCACAGCATGCTCTGATTGGGTGGTGGAATCATTGTGATGTAGCCACTTCATGACGGATCAAACTACAGCTACAGACACTCGTCATGCACTAGTGAGAACACACCAGCAGATCTACATCACTGTCTGAGAGAGGAGTCCAGTGTCCACACACACACATGAAGATGATGATGATGTCAGGAGACGTTACATGGAAGCAGTTATGTGGCCATGGGAGGAATCAGGGACGTGCACAGGTACGGACTAATGTTGCCCGGGCAACGGCCCGTTTGGCCTTTGTGGCTGACCTGCCCCTCTGGAGAGAGCGAGAGTTTGTTTTTCTTTTCTCTGTTGTGGCAGAATCAACATGATAAACCCACAATTAGTATTGTAGCGTCTCGCTACGGGAAACACACTTTGTCAGCGCTGTCATCTGCCGGTGCGTTAAGATCACCTCAGTGTCGGATTTTGGAAACTTGATTTTGAGTTGTCTCATGGCAGTTGGGTATAAGGGACAAACCAGGGGACTTTACTTCCTCTTGATACCGTCGGTTATTTACAAAAAAACACCTAAATATAGCCTTTGTTATTGTGCTTCTGTGTTTCTGTGTCTTTTCATCTGTAAACTCCCTCAACGGGGCCGCTCGCTCTCTTTTCTTGATCGCCCTCTCACGGGTGAACAGTTCACTCTCCCGCTTCATTGTAGGATTTCTGCCATGTCTCTACCACTTTAGTTTGACCATCTCTGTTATTAAGTTATGGAATACTAAATAAATAAGTAATTAGAGACCTTATCATCACTGCGCTCATAAAGAATGATAAGAATAAGAATAATGCGTATTGAACGGGTTTCATTAATTAGTGAGTTTATTTAAGGTAATTAGTTAAAGGCTCTATTTTATCAGTATGGCTGCACAGCAGTTACAATGGTCAAACTACATTAGAACAGAATTGTCCCCATTTTGTCTTTAATAGTTACTAACATTAGATATTTTAATGAGATATGGACCGCAAAACAAAATTTTTCCCTGGTTTTCATTTTTAAAATCAAGTTACCGAATGCAAGTAGTCGCCTTCGCTTATTTTGTTATGAGATGTGAATTACTGTTCAATTTAGTTGATGTAATAATCGTTTGGTTTCTTTTACATTAAAAACAAGTTACAATTTTCAAAAGGTCTTGTGTTTTTTATCGGGGGGAGGCCCTTTTTCCCGTTTAGAGCAATAGCCCCACCAAACGTCTGTGCACGTCCCTGGGAGGAATCCCACTGTGTTTTTGGAAAATTATGAATTTTTCGTAAACACGGAATGTGGTTTATGTGGTTGCATAAATGTGCTGCTCATTATTTTTGGTTTATAAAATCGTTTTTATACTAAGAATTTATATGTGTTTATTGAGAGGATTTAAATAGAAAAACCCACTATATTATTTTCTTTCCTCCATTATTGTCTTTGAACTTTAACATTTGTAATTTGAGATAACTTTGATGGACTAAGGCAGCATATTTCTTGTTTAGGAGGCAGCAAACAGGACTCAAAACAACATTTCCAATTTGGGACATTTTGGGATCAATATCATATTTCTAATCCAATCTAACCAGACACTAGTTGTTGTGTACATGTACAAATACATTTGAAATGGAGAGTGGTGGATATGTAAATTAACTGCTCATCATAGCTACACTTATTTTCATTTAACATTTTCAAATATTGTTGTCCACCTGGATGGGTACTTTGTTTAAAGCTTTTCCTCTTCACTTTTGCTGTAACAGTGTATATTTCCTTTTTGACTACTTAACCAAAAGCAGAGAGCAGCAGGTCGATGAGGATGGATGGTGTTTGGAGGCTAGAGGCTTCACTTGAAGGAGCCTAACCTCCTGCTGCATGTGGATCTGTTCTGATATAATGTTCATAGAAATAATCGGCAGCAGAACAGGCTTTCTGGATTTCTGTTTATATTTAACGTCCGTATGATAACGCCTGACCAAGTTCCCCCTCTGCGCTGTGTGACGTGAACACTGGACCCAGCTCTCTGAAGTGAGCTGATCTGCCTCAGATTGGATGCAGGAGCAGACTGAGGCTGCTCTGCAGTGTGTGTGGGGGGGGGGGGGGGTCGGGCTGGGTGTACCTAGCAGTGCGGCGGCCTGGCTGCGTCCTCCAAAGCTGCGGCTGAAGGAGCTGTGCCTACTTGCGTAGGAGGCCGGCCGGCTGGGCAGCCAGGGCAGCAGGAAGGGGGGGAGGTCACAGGGCCGCCACTCCTCCAGCACGAAGGCCACCTCGAACCACTTCCTCTGGAACAGGGCAAAGTCTTCCAGGGCGGCAGCCGACCAGCCTCCAGCGGGGTTGGGGGGCGGCTGGGAGACGGAGCCTGCAGAGGACAGCGTTATGACACAATTATACAAGTATGTGCAGATCTGTATACTGAGATGAAAGCAGAGAGAGCATTTTAAATCCACTCACCATCCTTCTCTCCTACAATCCTGTAGAAATAGAATCCGTAGATGAAGCTGCGCATGGCATCTCCAGAAGCGTGGGACACAACGCCTTCATCCAGCATTTTCTACACAAAGCAAAAACACAGGAACATTCACAGATGAGCACATGCAAAGAAGAGTAACACAACGTTTCCTTAAACAAAAGTTATATTCCATTCCTATTGAACGCCAGAGGCAGTGCTTAACACTCAATGTTATCCATCTCGCGCATGCACAGGTCGAGTATTTAATATCAACAAAGTAACATGTGACCTGGGGTGACGTAGCCCCCTATATCAGCCCACGTCACCATCAGAAATGTCTCTATTATTACCTTGGGAAATAACATAGCCGGTGGCTCTTCGTTGGTAGCCCTGTAACCGTTGTGTTGGAGTCTCGGTTTTGTCCTCTAAGGCAGTGGTTCCCAACCTGGGGGGCACGCCCCCCTTGGGGGGGCACCAAAGATCGCAGGGGGGGGCCTCAGATGATTTGAGGCCAAATATCATATTTAGACTTTTTTTTTTTTACATATAACTGTAACGCAATACATGATTGTCACTAAAAGACTTGTCTCTACATTACAATACAAATATAAAAAATAATTGATTAATTAATTTGAATAACAATTCAAGTTAGTAGCTAATAAAGGCATAAAAAGACAGAAATTTATAATTCTTTCTTTAATAGAAATGTTTCTTCCGCCCGTAAAGTGTCCAAACCAGGCATTTCTGCATAAGCGCATTTTTAAAACATAGTCATTGTCCATGCCGGTTTCAGTTGGATTGTTTGTCACAGTTGCTCTGATCAGATTGGTCTCCTCCATTTTGTAGATTATTTACGACTTTTGAATCCACATAAACACATCGGCAAAATCCGGCTTACTTTGAGCATGTGTTTTAAACAGTTTAATCCCTTTGTGAATTGTTTCCACTTGCGCCGTCCTTTCATTTCTTCATACAGCGGGAATCCAAATGAATTAATCCTGAGTCCAATAATCATCAAAGTCACTCCAATAGTGCTCCTTAATTACGCTTTCATCCTCCTTTAACAAAATACTTCACATTTATCCAGTTTGTGACAGTAGTTGTAGCATTTTTGAGACTTTTACACTTTAATTACCGCTGTTGCGCCCCCCCCCCCCCCTTGTGTGTGTGTGGGGGGGGGGGGGGGACGCAACTTCCAATAGGAGTCTTTTGGGGGGGCTCTTGGGAAAAAAGGTTGGGAACCCCTGCTCTAAGGGCTGCGATTGGTCATAAACGGTTGAACATATTACGCTGACAGACCGGTGTTTTTTTTCGCCAGGGATGTTCGGCAAATTGCGGATGCCGCTAGCATACTTGCCAACCCTCACGATTTTCGCGGGAGACTCCCGATTTCACTGCCCTCTCCCGGTTTCCTCCCGGGGTTATATTTCTCCCGCATTTCTGAAAAAATCAGATTTACTCACGACTGTTTCCACTCGGACTTTAATACAGCTACACCATTGTTTGGTTTCCATGGTAGCGCGTCTCTTTAGTAGCGTGCACAACTGAAAGTCTGAGAGGGTGAGGCAGATAGTCACAGAAAACTGAACAAGAATCGACAACTCGACCCTCTGCTCACTCCTTTCCTGAAAAATACAGGTCCAGCCCACACATATGCTCCATCAAGGATGGTGCTACAGGCCGCAAGGCCTTACAACAACTTACAACTTACACTTACAACAACAATAAGCATGTTAATGTTCATCTACAGCTCCGGCGATCCACTACCCCCCCCCCCCCCTGGTTTTGAAATGCTCCCGATTTCTGAGGTCTCAAGGTTGGCAAGTATGGCGATGTGTCTTCCCGGCTGAGAGGCAAGTATCTCATTATTAAAGTCGTCCTGTTTTCGGGATCCGGTTATCGGCAAGGCTGCGGTGTAATTAGCCGGTGCCTGCCGTTTCTTTATGTTGTTAGCAAATTTAGCTGTTGCTCCCTGGCAATTGTTTTCGTTTGTGAAAGCGTGTTATTTCTTATGCTCCGCTCTAATTGCTCCGCTCTAATCGCTCCTATCGCATCGCTCTAGTCCAGTGGTCGCCAACCAGTCGATCGCGATCGACCAGTCGTCATTGTGTGTCATTCAAGCTCGGCTCTGTGTGTCTGTGGCAATAGCGCATTTAATGTGATGAGAGAGAGAGATTATTTCCACGTTACACCTTCATATGATCATTATAGTTATACAAACAATAAGAGAATAAATGAAAAACAGGTATACTATACTATATGGCAGTAAAACAAGAATACAGTTTAAAAAGGGGAGTGATTTGTAAAATATCCATAAAGAAAAAGAAAATCTGTTTACAGTTCTGTTTCATATGGGTGCTGAGAGAGGTATCCATAGATCTCTTCATGTTGCTCTCAAAGTGCACCAGATTGATGCTTTCAACTTCAATATTTAAAAAATAATCTTCCCGGGGGAGAATCCTCCCGGACCCCTCTAGAGGAGGTGAGGTCCGCTCCCCACTCATAAAAAATAGCACTTTATCCCTGCCTATATGCCGAGAGCTGATTATGGAGCCTTCATTGTAACAGTAATTCAGATGCAATTAGCCTATAAAAGGCCTCAAATTGGAAGCACTGTCTGGGCCGTCTTTTTCACTCAATTCTGCAATAGGTAGATCTTGCCTTTCACCTAGGCCGAGGTCGGTGATCTCGGGCTTAAAAAGGTTGGTGACCACTGCTCTAGTCTATTGGTGCGTTCACACCGGACGCGATGCGAATATTCGCTTCGCTCTAAACGCCCGAGTTTCACCGCGGCTGCCAGCTGTGTTTACTCCTATGGTTTGCTCGCATCATTCAAACAAGACGCGCTGGCTCGGGAGCTACAACTACAACAAAATGAACATATTTTACCGTGATTAAATTGTAATACACGTTTCTAAATGATGCCGACGTAACAACATACTGATACCGGTTAGTAAAAACCATGAATTAATGCTTTGACAAGTCTGCAGACAGACGGCAGGCGAAAAACCTTTTAAAATGCTTGTTTTCTGAATGGAGATTGGGTCGACCAGGCTAAGCTAACGTTGTATATGCTCACTCCACACTCATAACAATGGCCTACAGACATAAATAAACCAGTGACTGTATTCACCATGACACAGACAGTCTGTGGTTTGTTCTTGTTTAACTTTTGTACAGTTTCTGAACAGATATGAGGAGCTGTGATCTCTGTGTGCTAACTGCTAACAGCTAATGGCTGATGTTTTCTGGTTGAACGTCAGTGATGGCAGGCTGAGATCCTCACTGCTGATTGGCTTCCGCGAGAACGCGTCACGTGAATTTGACGCCCGAGTTGAAAAAATGTAACTCTCGCGTTTGACGCGGCCTCCTTCAATTGCCTCAATCGCGTGATTCGCGCCGCGTCCACCGCTTCATGCGCGCCGTCGGAGCGAATTCGCGTCTGATCGCGTCTCTGCATTGACTTTACATGTAATCGCACCGCCCCCAAACATCGCATCGCGTCCGGTCTGAACGCAGCATTAGACTAGAGCGATGCGATAGGAGCGAAGCGAATATTCGCATCGCGTCCGGTGTGAACGCAGCATTAGTGGTGATTAACCATGCTAGAACAAGAAAGCTAAGTGGCAAGGAGGAATACGTTCCTTGTTGAGTTCAAGTCGATGACGATTTCCTTTGCTTGTCAAAACTTGTCATTCCTATGTTGTGATTTGAGCAGGTGCTAAAGCCCTATGCTACATTTTTGTTTTCACTACTGGTGAGTGCTTTCGCTCAGAAGTAAGTAAGTGAAGTAACTTTTCTCTCTGAAGAGAGTAATAATTTAGATAACTATTACACCTAAGAGCCCCGCCAGTGTAACGCCCCAGTAGGGTGTCCACTAAGGGGTAAGGAGAATTACAATAGTTTTATTTTGACTTTTTAAGTGCCAGACTTGAGGAAGAGTCTGCAGAGTAATTTTTCGAGTGAGTGCTAAAATGACAAAATTAGACCTTTTTTTGTCATACATTGTCCTCGAAATTGAGCGCTAACATTAGCAATGTTGACGTGCAGCGGCAGCCGGAGCCGGAGGCTAACGATAGCTCACCTGCCTCACCACCATCATTGCCATCTAGCTCCACAAGTGAAGCTGTATCCGTGGCCGTGGCTGTGTCTGGATTTGGCTGTGCCCGGCGGTGGTCCAACAGTTCCCCCAAGGGCCCCAACCGATAGGGGACTCTATGGCGCTATTGAGACCCCCAACGCCAAGATCAAAAGCTATATTATAGTGACCGGTCTATGCAGGCCTACCGGCCCATTCCCCAGAGACAAACATCAAGGAAACAAGTTTAATCCTCTTCTTAATTTGCTGTGCCGTTGTCAGGCTGTGGTGGTTTGAGGCCAGGACAGGCTGTTGTTGATAGCCTATACATGTGGTGCTTCTGAGTGGTTGTGTATGTCCGTGCGTGTGTGAGTGCATCAGCGTGCGCTTATGTTTTGGGTCGATTGGGGGGGGGCCCAAAACAATATTTGCACCGGGGCCAATCACAACCTTGTTATGCCACTGCCCTCATTCCTCTGTGTTATCCACCTGAGGGAGGGGCTGACTGACAGTAAATGAATGAATTGCAGTTTCATGCCACATGGGCTGAAGGTTGCCCGACTGGCCGAGGTGAAAGACCCACAGGTTGATGGTGAGCTACCCCTGTCTGGAGCAGCTAGGCTTGAGGTAAGGGATGCTCCCCAACAGATACGCGTGTCCCCCCCCTAGAAAAAAGGCCAAGAAGGCTGATAGCTTGGCTGCTAAAGTGGACATATTAGCATCGGAGTTCTCTGAGATTAAGGGCTTGCTCCTTAATTTTCAGAGCTGGGATATCCCGCCGGCTAGAGCTCCTACCCCAGAAGAATGTGATGAGGATGCCCTTCCTGGCTCACTCTTTGGTGGCCCGTTTTCTTAAAAGGTGCCCAGCGACGAAACCCCCTCGGGCTATCAAGGTTCCCTCATGGGACTTGTCAATGGTGCTGGAAGCCCTCCTTTCCCCACCCTTTGAACCCCTGGGGCAGACAGAGCTTAAATGGCTTTCGGCAAAGTTTGCTTTTTTTTTGCGATGGCACCAGCCAAGTGTGTGAGTGAGCTTCACACCTTGTCAGTGAGTGAAACGTGCATACGCTGGTTCTCAGGTGGCACAGGGGTGGCACTTTAGCCTAACCCATATTTTTCACTCAAGAGGCTGCCTTCGGCCCACTTAAATCAGGTCATAGAGCTAGCAGCTTATGACTCCTCAGGCTTGCAGAACGTGGAAGCTGCTTCGGCAGAGCTGCTCTCCTTGAAATATGATATACAGGCGACTGCTGGCTTTCGCTGCTCTGATAGCCTGTTTGTCTGCAACAGGGGCCCTAAGAAAGGGCGCGCACTTTCCAAACAGAGGCTTTCTGGGTGGATTGTTGAGGTGATTGAGGAGGCATACAGATCAAGAGGTCTGCCTTTACCTCTTAATGTTAAAGGCCACTCCACCTATTCCGTCATGGGACGGGTGGCGCAGTGGTCTGTGAGTTTGATCATCAGATCAAGGGGGCGTTGGGGAACTCCAGTTTGAAACCCGCTCCCGCCCCACTGCGTCAGGCCGTTGTGTCCTTGGGCAAGACACTTCACCCGAATTTGCTCCTGTGGGTAATGTCCACAGTAGATGACCATTACATGTATGATCTGTATTTGTAATGTGTATTTGTAAAGCGCTTTGAGAGTCTTTGATAAAGCGCTATAATAAATATAAGGATTATTATATTATTATTATTATTAATAACTGTAGTTTGGCTTTTTGACTACTTAACCAAAAGCAGAGAGCAGCAGGTCGATGAGGATGGATGGTGTTTGGAGGCTAGAGGCTTCACTTGAAGGAGCCTAACCTCCTGCTGCATGTGGATCTGTTCTGATATAATGTTCATAGAAATAATCGGCAGCAGAACAGGCTTTCTGGATTTCTGTTTATATTTAACGTTTGTATGATAACGCCTGACCAAGTGCCCCCTCTGCGCTGTGTGACGTGAACACTGGACCCAGCTCTCTGAAGTGATCTGCCTCGCATGTAACTACGGTTCTATGAATTCTGGATCGTACTTTGCCGTACAGATCAATACATGTCTGGGAGGTTTTGCTTTACGCTGTGTGCGCTCCCGCGAGGTGCATGCACACACGGCATAACACCACCCCCCCCCCGTTGACAGTTCACGAGCGTGCTCTCTCTCTCTGTTCAGACCCGACGGGTAATAAGGGATTATGACGGATATTTTACGATCCTGTCTGTCAAAATGACGGACAGCGAAAAAGTCTAATGCCACCTCAGTGGGACGGAGAAATATGCTTTGGCCATGGGTGACAGCAGTGGGTCAAACTGTGCATTGTCTCTCCACCACTTCAAAAACAATACAGTTTTTGCCAAGAAGGTGAGGCTTATTGACAGGGCGAGATATAAATATACTGTTGGTACTTGTCAATGTCTCTAGGTATGTACATGTAGCCCTGTAAATACGATGTCCTTTTGTGTTCTGTTGTTTTATGTTCATGTTGTAACCTACTTGCTGCCATGTTGGACAGGTCTCTCTTGAAAAAGAGATCGATGATCTCAATGGGACCACCTGGTTAAATAAAGGTTTAAAACAAAAAAAAGTGTTTAAAAAAAAAAAATCGCGGTAGATTTTGTCAGTCTCACGGCGGTATTGGGACGTTTATTTACCGCGATATTCGGTATATCGTTACATCCCTAGTAACTATCGTTATATTTACATCCAGAGCTAACTAACGCAAGGTTTCCTCTTCTTTGCTTTTCTATAGCGGCATATCTTAGCATCATACAGCCACCTGTTGATCAGTGGAATAGTGTGAAATCCCTATTCCACCTTACATTTGGAAAAATAAATCAGCGGATGGGAGGCGGGGCTGAAGGAAAACACAAGTGCACATGCTCTATGGGCCGAGATCTGGGTATTTGTGTGAAGATATCAATTATATCTATTAGCAAGAGATGTAATACCTTTAACTTGTTATGAATTCTCCCTCATTGCTTTCCTTAACCATGACATTTCTGAACAGGTAGGACTGTTACCTGCATGATGTCCACAGCCATCCCATGTGTGGCCACGCCCTCCACGTTGTTGACCAGCCAATGAACGACCTCCGCGCTGATGAAGCAGTTGAGTGGAAGTCCTTTCTGTTCCGGCAGCAGCTGCACACCCGTCCTGTAACAGAGAGCACACACAAACATTTAGAACAGCAATAACTTTGTTAAACCAAACCCAAGGGCCGGATATAATAATAACTTTAATTTAGTAAGAAACAAACGTTTTTTTCTGGGTTCAAGGTATGTTTTTTTTTTTGGTTCTATAAAATACCAATTTCTTCTCTTTTTCTCTTTTACATGTATAAACCCATTCCAATAAAAAACATTCCTATAACATAAAAAAAAGAAATGGTATCAAAGAAATATTTTTGCATTATGATGATTTTTTTAAACATAACATTATATTTGCATTTAGTACATACTAGTTAGAGTAGCAAGATGCATTCTGATTATGATAACTTGAACTTTTTAATGTTTTAAATAAGTAGAAGTTTAAATATTCGAGACACAGTGTAGAATAACTGCCCCACATTAACTTAACAAATGGAAAGCCAGAAACACACAACAGATCTTACGTGGGATGTTTGATGGCCTCCAGGATCTCCATGAGAGTTGAGGAAGAGGAGATGGAGAGGTCTCCGGCTGCAGACTGCCCACTGAAACAGAACTCGGATCAGTGCTACAGCTCAGTGATGAGCCACATATTTAACAGCAATATGAATATAAATTATGTATTTATATTTACTGGTTTTCAGACTGACTGAAACAAAGCAAACTATTGAATACACTATTAAAGGTAGGGTATGTACGTTTGAGAAACCGGCTCGAGATACACTTTTTGTTATATTCCATGGAATGCTCTTACCATCCCGATAGTAATGAATATCTTAAATGCTTTGACAAAAAATCCATAAAAAAATGTCATCTGTGGAAGCCGTAGTACTGTAAAAGGTACAACCAATCATTTTAGCCGGCCCGGCTAAAGTAACTGGATGGCCTACCTGCCTATCAGCCTTCCATCTGTGCACAAACTTACCTCGTGCCCTCATTGGTCATGTGCGCGTTCGTGTGTTGGAGGAGGGGCTCTGTAAGGAAGTGGCAGATTTTCTCCGGTCGTGTATTTTCAAATTCTAGCGATCTCGAGCCGGTTTCTCAAACTTACATACCCTACCTTTAAGATATGCTATGTCCATATAGTGTTGTCACGATACCAACATTTTGGTTTCGATACCGAGTCAAGAATTGCGATTCCGATTATTTTTCGATACTTTTCTTAAAAAAAGGGAAACAGTCTTAAATGTAATTATTGTGCTTTATATTTCACACCAGAACCATAACCACATTGGTAAGTTAGCTAAAAAGATAGCCATATTAGACAGTTATCATTGCCATTAATTGCCTCGGCAAACTACGAAAACGTTAATTTGTCACAAAATAAATTACACTGGTTTGATTTAGATTTGAGGGCATGGGCTTGAGCATGATGTAATTATGTTATCTATCACATTCTCTAACCTGTCTGGATGCCGGTTGGCGAGGTGCTTAGCGAAGTTTGATGTGTTGGCTCCCTTGGTTTGCAGGGATCTAAAACATGTCTTACTGACAGGCCTCGTGGTGTCCGTATGCTTGCCCTCACTGTCAGAGATATAGCTAAAATACTTCCAAATTTAGCTTCTGGCGTCTTTTTTGTCAACAAGCCGAGACGCAGCGGCAGCTGCACTCCCACTTGCAGCTATGCTTCTCGTTTTCTCACATGCTCTGGCAGCTAGCGCGTGGCCGCGTGCAAGAGAGAAGGGAGGGACTTAGAACGTGCTTGAGAGGGGCGGGACTGCAGGCACGGCTGCAGTGCAGGGAGTGGAAGCAGAGCGCTGAACAAACACGGCTCTTATTAAAACGGCGCTTTCTCACCGGAGTACTTTTCCCCGTCATTCTTAAAGTACCGATACTAATGAAACGGAGGAATCGTAATGTTTTTAACGGAAGGGTATCGCGGTACCTTTCAAGTATCGGTACACCATGCAACACTATGTCCATATAATAAACTCCTTTAATTATAATTTTGCTAGATATGTTATCATCAGATGAAGTCTCACCATTTTCAAACAAACATTAAGACAAGGAACATACATTTAATCACTAGGGATGGGTATCGAGAACCGGTACTAAGTCAGTACCGGTACCTGATTGGACGGTATTGGTATACCGTTAAGCCGCTGGACAAACGGTGCTGGTATCGGTCTATGAATTACGCTACTTCCTTAGTTTAAACAATTCTGGTTGGTTGGGAACCCTCATCCCGTGTGACGTATCCAGATTGAGTACCACTCTGATTGGCCACTGTGAATGCCACTCGTCATCTCTACTAACAGCGCTCTTATTATTGTGAGACTCCCGGGGGTAGACCATAGGGGCAGACCAAGCCCCCAGGAAGTGCGCCGGACTCTGATGAAAATATTCTTTAGAGGCTTCTCAATACTCAAATTTCCCCTCCTCGACTCCCCTCCTCGAGACTTAGACCCGCCCACAGGAGATGCGAGCGGAGGACCGAGGAGGGGAACCGAGGAGAGAGGAGGGGAAGCAGCAGACGTTTAAAGAAATGAGAACTCCTCTCCTCTGAGCGGTCATTTTAAAGATTTTTTGTCATAGTGCTGTATCTCTGTTAGATCAGCTGAACATTGTTCCCCCACATATTTACTTTGAATTCATTGAGAGTGCGGTATAATGAGACAATAACAGGCTACAGATGCGGACACACACACACAAATATATTTATATAAATATATACAATTTAAAGTATGAGAGCATTCTCATAATAACGTAACACAATCAGAGACTGGATATATCCCCCCCTCTCTCTGGTCGCTGAAATGGGGAATTGAAATTACGGGCCAAAAGTTGTATTTACAAGTAGGCCTATTAAAAGTAAGCAGAGGACACCAAACCAATTGAGACCCGTCTGTCCGCCGCATTTACGCACTGTACAACACACACCTACACACTGTACAACACACACCTACACACTGTACCACACACACCTACAGCTCCAAAAGCATAAGCCGTTGTGTATTTTATTATGTGAAGCAATGGTCTTAGAAAAATATCGACTCTTTGTTTGTATATATCTACTAAACTAAAGCAAATAAAGAGAGTAGGCCTGTTATACTGAGTGATATATATTATACACACTGCTCTGCTTTCTGCACGGACCGTACAGCTGTTCTCTCTGGAAACATCGCGACGCGATGAAAGCAGTTTCTAAAATAATATCCAGGGGATGCATGCATAGCTGTCATTGGCTGAGATAAGTCCGGCCGTGCGTCACGCCTCCACCGTTCCCGGAAATGCATCCGTGGAGGAACCATCAGTGTATCCTCGGTTATAGCTCCTCCAGAGAGCCTCCTCGACGCTCGGTCCTCGGTGTGCATTTAGAGAAATGAGACGTCCTTCAAAATGGCGCGACCGAGGAGTCGAGGAGGGGAAATTTGAGTATTGAGAAGCCTCTTTTGTGTCCAAACGGCAGTACTACAATTTCCGTATCAGTCCGTGACGTCACTGGGCTCAGAAAGACTTTTTCCCATTGACTAACATGGGGAAAGAGACGTCTGTAAATCAACGGATACATTTTTAAAAAACTAAATAAATTACCCAGTATGAACTATTGTATAGCCCTTATTAGAATCATTAGGTCCTTAAAGTTGTAAAATGCACTAAAAGCCGAATCTAGATTTATTTTCTGTCTCCTTTCATTCTACTGAGCCGAGAGTGGGAGCTCCGGGGGCGGGGCTTAAGGGGCGCATGCTCTGTTGCGGCTTTCACACCAGCGCTTTTCCCTTTCTAGCTCCGAGCTAGAGCTTTTCTGGTTCAGCTCCGGTTTCCCTTTTCTTCTCCCGCTCTGTTCACACCGCCCAGCACCCGACTGGTGCTGCCGCTGCTGCGTCATGACGTCACCGTTTACATCGCTGATTTGCTCCCCAACGGCATTACGGCGCTCACAACAACGGGGAACTGCGTCGGGTCGATGATCGTGTTGCTTTTAATCACACGAAGCCAGAATAAATTGAATAACGACTTCTCCAACCTTATACTTTGCTCCAGAGTGCCGTGGTTCATTGTTTATTAATGTGTTTCTGCAGCATTTACCGACCACTGCAGTGTTGGCTGCTCTTCCACGGGAGTTTATTCTCCTCCGTTAGCTCCCGGTTAGCTCACACTGCAGCGGCCGCTCTAAAGTATTCACTGTCTGACTCACACAAGCAGCTGATACATATCCCCAGTTCCCCTTAGCCTAAGTGAATGTGTGTCAGTCTGAATTGACGCTGTTTGGTATCACAACGCTGTTATGAAAGTTTCTCTGGTATAAAATGGGTGATGTTAGCATAGCAACCGAAGCTAAACTGACTACTTGCTATTGCTATCCTATTGTGGCATAAGCCGTTTTCTCCAGGCACATTTTACCGGCGTATTTTTATTATGATTCTACTTGTGATAGTCGGACACGACAACCTGTGCAGCCCATGTATTGATTGCATCCGATAGCTGCTATAATACAAAACAAAACGTCTGCCTCTCTCCACAATGATCAATAACAGTGAACGGATGGTCAAAGTAAGGTACAAATAAACAGAATCACACGAAGCCTGGTTAGTGTTGCCTGACTTTATAAAGTGTGTTTATAAGCACTACTGCTTGTAGGCAGGCATGACAGTCGAGCCATGTTCAGGGGAGGTGGGTTTAGTTTCCTGCACGCCTCGACGTAAGAGAGACGTAAGCGACGCCACCTCTTAGCTCCGAAGCTCTTGCCTCTAGACCGACAATTTGTTGGAGCTGGAAGTGAACCGGATTCCGGAGCTATGAGCCAGCCCCGCTGCGGTGTGAACAGGAAAAACCGGCGCTTTTCAGGCTCCACTCCGAGCCGGAGCTGAAAAAGCGCTGGTGTGAAAGGGGCATGTGAGTGCACATACGGGGTGTTTCTCAATGTAGAGGAGGCTTGCTTGGTAGCACATGTACCTCCGAGTGAGTTCCTTACTTATCCCTGCAGCATAGAGGGAGATGTTACCTGGTGTCTACAGTGCTGCCTGCTGCAGCCTCTCCTGCAGGGGGCGCTGCTGCTGCTCCTGCTGCTGCTGCTCCTCCTGCTGCTGCTCCTGCTGCCTGGACTCCTTTATCTGCAGCCTCGCTGGATTCAGCAGGTAACTACACAGTAAAAGTACTCCACATAATTAGCTGTTGCATTTAGTATGCTTTGAAGGATTCCCTAGAACACTTCTTATTTACATCTTGTGTTATTCAGACATGTAGATAGTTCTTATCCAGGGTTGAAATACAGTATCTGACAGATTTCTGCCACCACACACATTCAGTGTAGGAGAACTGATTCAGCTTGTGCTGCTTACAGCATTCAAACAAAAATATGTACCTTTTCCAGAAGGTGTTGCTGTTCATTTGGGATAATCAACAGAGAAATCTGTATCCTGTGTTTATCCCCAGGATAGGAAATAATGTTGTTGATTTTTTTCAAGTTGTCATTTTTAAGAATAGTAATCACCACAGACTAAATCACATACTGTATATCCATTGTATAAGAGAGGCAGAAACCTTAAAGACAGATATCTCAAAAGCTGCATAAATGAAACAAATCTACCTGAATGAATAAATAACAGTGGAGGGAAGTAGAGAAAAACTATATTTTGACCTGGGGGACTAACTCAATCCTGCTGTCATAAATGGAAACAGGAGAGGGTTTGTAATTCCCAACATGTGAGTAACACCAGGATCACAGAACATGTACTACTCTGTAGGGTTGGAGAACACTGACTTCAGGGTATGCCACTTACCTTCACAGAACAGATTTTGATATAACACTGTACCTACCTACGTAAAATTCAACCGGGCACTCTTGGACCTGAGGGGATTCAACTTAGGCTAGATATTTTTTATGAAATTGGTCTGTGTCTTTGATTCCTATTTTTCTCTGAAAATCTGTACAATTCCTGCTTCTACATGACTTTCACTCATTGAGGCCTGACCATGTTTTATAATCCAAAATGCACTTTTTAATTTACTTTACAGTATGCTTAGATATACAATTAGAAAAGGAGCAATGCAGCACAATAAGTAATTCACCTGGCAACTGACTGAAATTATTTAACGCCTACATATCCTTACTGTGGGGGACTGCAGACAGATACATACACACAAAAGGTTGAAGTAATGTGATCCTGGTGTGAGTTTATAATGTCACTACCTACTAGCATGCACTACAGTACAGAGATCAAATACAAACTGAATAAAAGTTCAAACTCAAAGACACACGATGCTCATGCAGCAATAGAGAGCAAGTTAGAAGAGCTACAACACAACACACACACACACACACACACACACACACACACACACACACACACACACACACACACACACACACACACACACACACACACACACACACACACACACACACACACACACACACACACACACACACACACACACACACACACACACACACACACACACACACACACACACACACACACACACAATGCCTTTAGAGCTCATTACTGACCTGAGAGTGATAGATGTAGGAGGAGCGAGGGCTACGTATAAAATCCAAAATAAAGGCAGCGTCCTGCCAGCACAGGAAGAACGGAACCCAGAATCAAACCCAGCAAGAACAGAGCGGGGGGGATGCAGATGGAATGAGAGAAACCAGAGCAGAGCCCCCAAACCAAAGCACCAGCAAAGAAAAACCTTTTAAACCAGAAAGCTGCTGCAGAAGGGTCAGCGGAAGCTAAAACAAAGTGTTCTGATGCTCACCTTGCGGGGGCTGTCTACATATGTGGTAACACCTGAGGGGTCACTGACAGCTGAGGTGGGCTTTGCCTGCTGCTCCTCCAGAGTCCTGACAGGAAGCAGAGGGAATGTGGTTATTTTCAAGCTCGAACAGAAACATTAGTGATGTCACCTGCTCTGCCGAGGCTTCAGAGCGTGGGTCGAGTAATCCCGGAACTGCACTTCGCTCTGCATCGGCCAATCAGCTTGCTGCTCCCTCACTGCGAGTGGGACCCAGGTACACCTCAACAAAAACACGCCTGTTTGCTATCCTGGCCCCAAGTTTGTGGAATGAGCTCCCCATTGATATCAGGACAGAAGAGAGTTTACACATCTTCCGCCGCAGACCAAAAACCATCTGTTTCAACTGCATCTAAACAAAATATAAAAATTAAAAACTTCGGTACGCAGCACTAACAAAAGATTTGGCTTGAAGTGAAGCTAATGCAGTAATAAAAGCGTCAGCTAAATGAAAAGTTTCCTCTGAAGGCGATATCAGTGGATTACATGGAAATACAACTTATTTCATTGTTTAATATTATTCCCAAACTGAAATCAGTGCATCAACGATCACTTTCTTGAGAGGTCACATCTGCCTCTTTTACTCTGTAACTAAAGTCTGATTTAAGTGTTGATTATATTTCACATCATTAATCCAAATATGTAGAGTAACTAAAGGTATTAAATACATGTAGTGGAGTAAAAGTACACCATTTACCTCTGAATTGTAGTAGGGTAGAAGTACAAAGTAGCATGAAAAGTACAATTCTATAAAAATTGTACTTAAGTAAATGTACTTAGTTACTTTACACCACTGGTGAATGAAACAAGAGAAACAAACTCTTTACAAACCCAACCTTGAAAGCTTCATGAAGCTTGCTCTCATCATCACTACAAATAACACGCTGGTCTGGCAGGAGACACTCACTTCTGGTTCTGCTCCATCTCCAGTAAGGCTGATAAGGCTGAAGTGCCTTTCTTCCCCTGTGGGGGCACCAGTGGCTCGGGGGGGTACGCTGGGAGAGGACTGGTGACCTGCAGGCCTTTCATTGAGGTGCCCTTCTGCTGGGATGAAACGAACAGAGGGAGAGTCCTCTTAAGTGAAAGATGCCGTAATTCAAATGTTAAGAGATGCCCCATGTTCAGTGGTATTATTGTCCTAGATCAATGCATATTTTTGTAAGCCAATATTTCATTAGATCATTTGAAGACTTCATTTGCATGGTTTACGTTCGATTGGAAACTTCAGCAGGGACACATTTGAAACATGTCCCAGGGCTGTCTGCAAATGTCTGCAGGCTTCTGCAAGGTGATTTGATACAAGAGGCACATTCAATGATATAGTGCTAAAACGTATACATATCTTAGCTATTTTTACATTTGAAAATAATTTTTATAAACAGAAAAATGTCAGAAAAGAGCCAAAAAACACAATTTTCTAAATGACTTATTTTGGCTGACCAACTGCTCAGTTTACTGCGTCATAAAACAGCCTGAACCATTGAATGATTAGTATTCTTTTAAATGACAATTGAATGATATTAAAATGGGTGTTTAATCAACTAATTGTTTCCTAACTAAGCTGAACTCTAACAGGGAGTGAGGGGACAACAACACTCAAAAACACAAGAACAGTGGTGCCAGAACTGCCAATAACCCTGACATTAAAATAGTTAAAGTAGCCTCTAATGCAGGGGTCACCAACCTTTTTTAGGGTGAGAAATACTTTCAAAAAATAAAACAAGTCGTGAGCTACTTTTACTCCTCTTTTTATTGTTTTTTGCAGTGTATATATTTAGCACATTTGAACATTATTATATGCTTACCTTTAACCTTTGTGTGCTGTTTGGGTCTGTGGGACCCTTTTGCAGTGTTTACTAAAAGAACATGTATGCAATTTAATAATTTTAACCTGCTTTATTTGGGGGTGGCCCTCACCTCCTCTAGGGGGGTCCGGGGGCATGCACCCCCGGGAAGATTTTGTTTTTAAATGTTGAAGTGAAATGCATCAATCTGGTGCACTTTGAGCACAAAATAAATGTATGGATACAGCTCTCAACACTCAGATGAAAGGGAGCTGTATACTTTTCAATAATCCAAACATCTTTAGAATATGATCACAACCAATAACTAATCATTTAAACTAGTTTATTCTTATCTTATGTTAGCATTCTTTCTTTTTATTTATGTATATTTTACTAATCACTCTCCTTTTAAACTGTTTTACACTAGTACACATTGGAATGATTTCTTACTTTATCTATATTAAATAGATAAAGGTTCTCTCTCTCTCTGTCAGAGGCTGTGCTCCTCCGTGGCGATGACGGCTTGCGTTAAAAAAATAAAAATAAACATATTTGTAAAGTGGGGGGACACAAACGGGATTTCGAAAAGTGCTGGGGACAAGTCCCCCCCCCCTGTCCCCAGTGGAGATTACGCCATGCGTGTGTGTGCGTCAAGTGGAATAAATATATATGCAAGTTACAACACACAGAGTAAAACTCTGCCCCTCATGTGCTGTATAGGCTGGCATGATAGGCTGTTCAATGGGGCTGATGTGTTGTGTAAATTCTGCCAGAAGGAAAACCAGCGGGGAGGTGCCACATTGCTTTTCTTCCCGACTGCAATGCTGGTCCCGCAAATCAAGCAAGAACGTGATTGGTCGATATTCATTGTGGGGGTGGGGGAGGAGGGGTGTTAGATAGATATAGAGTTGTAGTAAGTAGATAGAGTTCGCTATGATTTAGGTTTCGTTTATGCATAGGGTAGATTCTTTTAAATTACATTTCCTTTTTTGTTTTGTGTATTTTATACATTTTGGATTTGCTTGGCGAGCTACGGTGCTGCGGGCGACTGAGTGCCCGCGGGCACCGTGTTGGCTACCCCTGATCTAAAGCTTTTAAATAAAATGCAATAAAAAAAACGAGACCTGGTAGAAAAAGTATCAATGACATTAAGTACAATTTGACTTTAGAAAACAGAAGTATTAGCTAAATGCATTTAAAGTAGATAAAAAGCAAAGTGTGAGGGGATCAGTTTGATGGAACATGCTGTCAGAGAGAGGCTCACCCTGATGATCCTGTCAGAGCGGTGTCTCCTCCGGATGCGGTTGAGACCCTCCAGGAAGCGGATGAAGCCGTCCAGCAGGACCCAGTCCCCGTTGCCTCCATTCCCAGAACCTGCCCCCTCCCCATACACATCCCAGTGACCCTCCCCATCCGCCACCCGCCTCGCTCCCCCTGCCGGCAGCAGGAGGAAGCGAGTCCTCCAGAACTTCAGGGAGTCGATCAGACTGTGGAGGAAGGAGAGAAGCACAGTGACGAAGAGGACACGGCTGCACCCTTTACAGAACAGTGGGATTCTTTTTCTATCAGCAGATATACAAAAATGGTTATGGAGTAATATTTTCGGATTCATTTTAAACAAAGACATTTTTCGGAAAACATATTAAAAGAAAAAAACAAAACAAAATTGATACGGGGGTTTATGTAGTGTTATTTTGATAATGAAACCAATACAGTGTCCGGTTCATATCTGACCGTTTACCTACTTTCATCAATCATAAATATTGTGTTTTACATTTGATTGCTTCAAGGCCTTATGATATCCTCCACAGTAGGCATTGGAACATATACAATTACTGATCAAAACTTTCATTGAACTTTGAGTGGGTTAGTCAACTATGTAACACTTATGGGAGGCTGTGGCTCAGTGGCTAGTGTGCTGGACTTTCGAATCAGGGGATAGCAAGTTTGAGTCCCACTGCAGTCAGCATGTCGTTGTGTCCCTGAGACACTTCACCCCACATTGCTCCTGTGGGGATTGTCCACAGTACTGAATGTATGTAAGTTGCTTTGGATAAAAGCGTCTAACAATGGCATGTAATGTAATGGTGTTCCCGGTCAAAAATGACCGTCATAGGAAATGAATGGCAACCCTGTGGTTTTTGGAATACATTTTCAGTGTCTATTCTTTGGATATTCAATGTAGGTAATCAGATACACCAGTAGTCTGACATTGTTTACAAAGGGTGATGATTAATGTTTTTTTTGGGAGGAGAAAAGAGCATGACAGGAGGTTTAAAATATAAGTTAAAAACTAATAATAAGACATAATTATAACATTTCCATTAACATTAAGCTGTAAAAAAGAAACACATGCTGTGTCAGTGTTTGTGTGCACCTGAAGTCCTCAGAGCCTGCGGAGCAGATGTACTGATCCAGGTAGTTCCACTTGTACTCCTCCAGCCTCTCATGGCCAAACTCCACCCAGCAGGACACAAACTGAGCATCAGAGTGTGGAGGACACAGACTGTAGCTGTACTGGATCAGTGCAGACTCGTACGGGTACCTAACACACACACACACACACACACACACACACACACTTTTACATTGTTGTCTTTTGTATTATATATTGATAGTAGTTAGATGACAGGGGATAGAGATGAGGGATGACATGCAGGGAAAAACACTTAAAGGTCCCATGTCATGGCCATTTCTACTGATCATAATTCCATTGTTGAGGTCTACTAGAATAGATTTACATTGTTCAATGTTCCAAACTCACATTGGCTTCTCATACAGCATCTCTGTATAGTATGTGTATTCACTCTCTGTCCTACACGCCTTGTTGGAGCTCCTGCCCCGCCCCCCCCCCCCCTCCCTACCTACCTATGAGCCCACTGTGCTCTGATTGGTCAGCTCGCCCACTCTGTTCTGATGAGTCCACCACCGTTACAGCGGAACATCAGTGATTATGTGTTACAATGGCGTTAGCAACCAGAAAATGACACCAGTAATGACAAACAGATGAGAATGCTGCGTGGGGTCTGGGTGCCGTGTTGGCGGGACGTTGCGCGGCTCGCTGCTGCGAGGAGCGGACAGTGTGAGCTGGGTTCATTTCCTGCTTGCTGCGTGGGGAGACAGCGCGAATGGGAAGGGGGGGGTGCTGAGGGGGCAGCCCCCCCATCTGCGAGGCTCTACTAGCACCGGCACCCCCCCAAACGCGGCGCACCTACAGTGTAAGCGCGCCACAGTTTCGCCGCTGAGAGAGTGTGTGTGTGTGTGTGGAGCTCCACGGAGGTCCATTGGGTATGGTCACGTCACTGTACCCAGGAAGTGAAAGAGAAATGTCCAACGAGGCGTTCTGGGTCAGCATAGACGGCAAACACTTTCTGTGTTAGAGTTTTAGTCGATACAGGGTGTACTTTGAGGGTTTTTGACTCTGCAGACCGTTTACTAACAAATAACTGCTAACAGAGCACTTATATACTAATAAAGGACTGGCTTATCTAAAGCCAGTTGAGTAGCACTTGAAATGTTTGGCTCTATGAAACCTGATGTACTTATATGATTCTGTTTTCTTCAAGGTTGTGTCTTCCTGGTCGAATGTACTTATAGTAAGTCGCTTTGGATAAAAGCGTCAGCTAAATGCAATGTAATGTCATGTTTACATGCAGAAAAACCTTCATAACACACAAGGGGACGGGTAATAATAACCGGAAAAGCATGACATGGGACCTTTCAAACGGATGATTTAGAACTCAGGACATGGCTGACACTGGTTCTCATTTTCACTTATATTCAGGAAGACATTTCCTCCCTCACACACACACACAGTAGACTGAGGTTGAGGCAGCTAAATTACAGCAGCAGCTTTCCCTCAGTGTTGAACAGTGGCGAGCCGTCAGGGCCCTCTAGGCCCTCTCTGAGGGCTTAAGATATTCAAAAAAATAATATTTGAAAACATTAAAAAAACAACATTTATTTTGTTATATTTTTCATTAGTTTTACCAAAAATAATTTGATTTAATTGTATTTAAAATAACATTTCCAAAGAAATACATCCTATGAATCTGCCTGTTCAGTTTCTGTTTGAATGTGAAGGGTTAAATGAAAGAATCTCGCCTGGCCCTTTCTGCGAGTTACGACCCGTCCACACAGCGGCGTGCATTTAAACTTGGCGGTGGGCGTGTCTGAAGCTTGTTCTCGCGAGCAACGCGACCAACAACCAATTACATGAATCTCCCGCCCCCGACATACAGTTTACGAAGTAAACTGGATATAAATTCCCCAAACATGTGAAAACCTACCAGTTTCACCCACTGTCTCTGCCACCTCCCTCCATGCCTGGCTCCTCCGGTTTGTATCCCGGTAGGTGAACAGGGACTGATCGTACAAGACCGGGTGATTCCCTACCGCTACGATTAATTTCTCCTCCATTTTTTGGAATATGAGGAAATGACCTGCGGTGTGTCTCTCCCAGCATACACACGGTTTGATTGGCTAGCGCTTGTACTGGCAGATTTGCATAAACAGGATTTGATTGGCTGACGCTTCCACCGAAGCTTCAAAAGTTAAACATTTCTCAACTTTTGCAGCGAGCCACGCCAGCAACGCTCCGCTTCCCACAATGCAGTTCGGTGAAAAGTGGCGTCACCCCATTCCAAGTGAATGGTAAAGCTTTGAACACACCGGCAAAAGTTGAGCAATGTTCAACTTTTGAAGCCTCTGCAGAAGCGTCAGCCAATCAAACCGCTGCTTGTGTGTCAGGGGCGGGAGATTCATGTGATTGGTTGTTGGTCGAGTTTCAAACACGCCCGCCGGCAAGCTTCAACGCACGCCGCTGTGTGGACCAAACCATACTTGTTAACATGTAATCTCTTTGCGCCTATACTACTGGCCTTACGGTAGTCTAGGTTGCCCTCTTGAGACTGTAAAACGCATGCGCAGTTAGTCTGTGTCGACCTGGAGCATGAGGTCCACTGTTCGTTAATGGCTCTGTATTGGTGTTATGCACGTTGATTGAATAAACCAAGTTAACAGAAGATAAACGTTGTGTTTATTTGTAGTAGACTAACATTGGTAGCAGAGGATGGTTAGCAGAAGATGGCTACTGCTAACTACAAAGTTCCACCGAAGTTCGACGAATCCCGACCATACGAGTGTTGGAAAAATGAAATCGCCATTTGGAAGCTGGTTACTGAACTTGATAAGAAGAAACAAGCCCTCGCCGTTGTCCTGGGGCTGGAACGAAGGGCAAGGGACATCGCCATGGAAATACCCGCTGTGGATTTGAACAACAACAATGGTATGGACACACTGCTAGCAAAACTAGATGGCATGTTTCTCAAAGAAGAGAGAGACCGCGCATACGATGCTTACTCTTTTTTTGACTGTATCAAAAAGGAGAGCTCCGTGTCCATGGCGGACTATGTGATTGACTTTGAACAGCGATACAACCGAATGAAAAAGTACGACATGACTCTTCCTGACGCCGTGCTAGCTTTTAAACTTTTGGACACGGCTTGTCTAGACGAGAAAAATAGAGAAATGGCGCTGACTGCGTGTACAGATTTAACGTTTGCTGCAATGAAGTCCGCGCTGAAGAGGATCTTTGGGGGGAGAGTGCTAGGCGGCACATCAAACGGAATACACGTTAACGATGAAGCGTTATTCACAGAGCAACGCTCACAAGGAAGATTCAGACGTCCAACAACGCAGCAGTTTGGACAAGTTGGACAACAAAGGCAACCGTCACAGGGTACCAACCCACTGGATAGGTTTGGTAAGAGATCAAAATGTGCTATATGTCAGAGCACGTTCCATTGGGCTAAAGACTGTCCTCACAAGAGTAGCGAACAAGTAAAGCTAACTGAAGATCGAACAAAGGTAGAGGAATGTGACATTACACTGTTTACTAAAGCCTCACTGTCTGAATCAGAGGTATTCCTAACTGAGTCTTTAGGGACGGCTATCATTGACACTGCATGTACCCGCACAGTGTGTGGAGAAAAATGGTTGGACAGCTTCCTCGCTGATCTCAGTCAAAGTCAAGTGAACCAGATTGTGAAAAGTGAAACTCCAAGCTCCAGACCATTCCGTTTTGGAGATGGAAATATAGTGCATTTCTCCAGAATACTGAAACTGCCTGTCAAAATAGGACAGACAAAATGTCGAGTGGAAATTGAAGTAGTCAAAGCTGATATCCCACTACTTCTGAGTAAGACTTCACTGAAAAGGGCAGGAACCATCTTGGACATGGAGAATGATAGAGCTGTGATGTTTAAACAGAATATCCCTCTTCAACTCACCAGTTCAGGACACTACTGTATAGATATCAGAGACAAGGACACAGGAATGAATCAAATTGAAATTAAAGATGTGGTCCTTACAGTCACAGAAAACGGCCAGAATGAAGATGAGGTCCTTACAGTCACAGAAAATATGACCTCAAATGAGAAACACAAAGCTCTCCTGAAACTACACAAACAGTTTGGTCACGCCTCCGCAGAAAGACTACAGCGACTCCTCCGCAGTTCGGGAAATAAAGACAAAGATTGTGACACTATTTTACAACAAATAGTACAGGAATGTGACATATGCCAGAGATACAGCAAGACCAAGCCGAAGCCTGCTGTGGGCTTGCCTCTGGCTTCAGAGTACAATGAAACGGTGGCAGTGGACCTGCACGAGTTGGAGCCAAGTTTATGGTACCTCCACATCATTGACCAATTTACACGTTTCAGCGCTGGAAGCATTGTGAAAACAAAGAACTCCTCTGTGATGGTGAACTCTTTCCTTCATACATGGATCAGCATCCACGGCCCACCACGGAGACTTTACAGTGACAATGGAGGAGAATTCAACAATGCAGAGTTCCGTGATATGGCAGAGAACTTTAACATTGAGACAAAAACCACGGCAGGATACAGCCCCTGGAGCAATGGGCTACTGGAGAGACACAATCAGACCCTCACCGACATCATCCAGAAGGTCAGACGGGAAAATGGATGTGACTGGCAAACAGCCCTAGACTGGGCTCTCATGGCTAAGAACAGTATGCTCAATGTGCACGGCTACAGTCCTCATCAACTGGTGTTTGGCCAGAACCCCAACCTTCCTTCTGTACTGGTTGATAAACCACCTGTGCTAGAAGGTACCACTATGAGTGCTAGAGTAGGAGAGCACATTTCAGCCTTGCATGCCTCTAGAAAAGCATTTACTGAAGCAGAGTGCTCAGAGGATAAGACGAGCACTACGTAAGCAGCTCAGACCCACAGATGAGAAATATGAGATGGGTGACAAGGTGTATTACAAACGAGCTGAATGCACTGAGTGGAAAGGACCAGTGATAGTTATTGGTCAGGATGGGGCTGTTGTTTTTGTGAGGCATGGTGGTTGCCTAGTGAGAGTGCATCACTCTAGGCTTTCCAAGGTGAACACAAAGGTTAATGAAGAGCAAATGGTACAAAATGATGCTGACACAGAGGCAGGAAGTGAGCAAGGTATAAACAATGCAACTGGTAGTTTAGACAGTGAGCAAAATACAGAGAATGAACAACAATTCGGTGACAGGGAAGCCAATACAAGTGAAGCGATCGATCCTCCAAACACTTTGAGTAGCGTAACACAAACTGAAATGGCGCATAGGCCTAATGCCCATAATAATCCTGCCCCTTCTGCAGGTGTGAGTTTAAAAACAGGACAGACTGTAACATATATGAACAGAGGTGACAATACTCTACTTAAAGCAAGAGTCTTAGGGAGATCAGGCAAGGCTACGGGGAAATATAAAACCTGGTATAACATGCAACATCTAGAGAATGATGGTAGTGATGGGCAAGAGGAATCAATTGATATCTCACATGTTGATAATCTCAACATTGAAACAGAAGACAGAGAAGCTGATGTACTTGTAACCAAAGACATCTCATTTGATGCAGCTAAACAAGAAGAAATAAAGAACTGGCACAATAATAATGTATTTGAGGAAGTTGAAGATGCAGGGCAGAAATGCATTTTCACCAGATGGGTTTGTAGTCTTAAGGACACTCCCAAGGGTATAGTGCCTAAAGCCCGACTGGTTGCCAGAGGTTTTGAAGAGCTGAATATTCAAGAGTTACCGAAAGATTCCCCCACATGTGCCACAGATTCACTTAGACTTATGTTATCAGTGATATGTCAAAACCAGTGGGAAGTCCATTCTATGGACATCAAATCTGCATTCTTGCAGGGTATGGAGCTATCCAGGGATATTTATATCCGCCCCCCTCTAGAGGCAGGATGTCAACATGTTGTATGGAAACTAAAGAAATGTGTATATGGTCTTGCAGATGCATCACTATATTGGTACAACAAAGTGAAGGAAATCATGCTGAGTACTGGTGGTAGAGTGTCACAGGTGGATCCGGCAGTCTTTTACTGGTTGGATGAGCAATGTAAGGTCACTGGGGTGCTTGCGTGTCATGTAGATGATTTTCTTTGTGCAGGCTCATCAAACTTTTCATCCAATGTGATCCCCCAACTGCAGTCTGCATTCAAGGTTGGGCGTGAGGAGCATGAAAAGTTCTCCTATGTAGGAATGGATTTGGTAACTGTTAACGGTGAAGTTCAGGTACATCAACAAAGTTATATCGAGAACCTGGAGCCTATTCCCTTACAAGCAAGTCGGGCCACACAGAGAAATGAACCCCTCAACGAAACTGAGAGAGAGCAGTTACGATCAAAAATAGGACAGATCCTATGGGTTGCTAAACAGACAAGACCTGATGTAATGTTTGATTCATGTTGTGGCTTCTAATATAAAAGGGGCAACAGTACAGTCTGTTCATGATGCTAATAAGATCATCCGTAAGCTAAAGTCTGAAAAGGTGACACTCAGATTTCAACATCTGGGAAACAGTGATGCTTTGAACTTGATAGTTTTCAGTGATGCTTCATTTGGAAACCTCCCAGACGGAGGTACACAGGGAGGTACTTTTATAACACTTATGGGAGAAAGAGGGAAGTTTTCCCCCCTCTGTTGGCATTCAAAGAAAATCAGACGAGTGGTTCGCAGTACCCTTGCAGGGGAAACTCTTGCCATGTCAGATGGGGTAGACAATGCAATTTTTCTAGCCACACTATTTTCTGAGCTCACTACTGGAAATGCTGGACTGAATGCACCCCCTGTACTCTGTGTGACTGATAACCACTCTCTGTTTGATGCGCTCAAGTCCACAAAACAAGTCACAGAGAAGAGACTCAGGTTGGAAATCAGTAGCATTAAGGAGCTCATACAGAGCAAGAGGATCAAGCAGGTGCGTTGGTCAGACACAAAATCTCAGCTCGCTGACTGTCTCACAAAAAAAGGAGCTTCGGCTCTTGTGCTCTTAAAAGCACTCGGTGAAGGACAATGGGATCTGGGTTAAAGTGTCTGTTGAAATGGAACATTGAAAACACCTTTGTTTATGTATTTGTTTCTTAAATGTTTCCCTAATTTATGTTGACTACTCAGGAAATTTAAACATTTTTGTTTTAAGTCACTGTATGATTGTTTTATGATTCATGCAATGTAAAGTTGTTTTTGTTTTGTTTATTTCTTTAAAAAGATAGAATGAGATTGTTAACATGTAATCTCTTTGCGCCTATACTACTGGCCTTACGGTAGTCTAGGTTGCCCTCTTGAGACTGTGAAACGCATGCACAGTTAGTCTTGTGTCGACCTGGAGCATGAGGTCCACTGTTCGTTAATGGCTCTGTATTGGTGTTATGCACGTTGATTGAATAAACCAAGTTAACAGAAGATAAACGTCGTGTTTATTTGTAGTAGACTAACAATACTGTCCTGCTGTAAAGTCACAGAGGGCCCAGCTATAGTAACTCAGAGAGAGTAATGTCAAATGACAGTACAATTGACCAATCATATCGTCCCTCTAAATGGGTTGGCTTTATTTTCGCGGACTTTATGACAAGTTCCGCCCGCTGTGAGGTCTATGCAAGTGGTGCAGTGACGCATCCTAAAACCCGGAAGTAAGCTGCGCTCGGGTTCCCTCGACAAAAAAGCAATGGGATTTCTCCATAGGATTTTGGAAAATAGCTCGAAATAAGGTCTGTGGAAAATGAACCTGTCATGATAGGTGTTTATATAAATGGTGTTGTTTTGTGTGGTAGAGGGTCGCTGTCATTGATGCGTTTTGCACCCCGGGCCTCGGGGGGTCAGAGGGCCTAGGTATAAAAGTCACGGCTCGCCACTGGTTGTGGAGAAACTGCAAAAAGAAATGTCCTGTAATGCTGTGCAGTTTTAGAGACAAGATAATAGTCAATGTTTTATTATGAACAAACTTCAATTTTCCATGAAAAAAATATACTCTCTATGCTGTAATTTATAATAATTATTTTTTTACAGAGAGACATTTTGAATTGGCTAAAACAGGAATGAAGCTGTTAAAAATGAAGGCTTCATCTCTTCTTTAAATTCTCTCCACTTTAAATCCTTTTCACTTTTTTAAAAAGACAACTTCATTGTTTTACTGTGAGTGTTGTGTTTTCATACAGGATGGGACACGTGAGTGCACACGTATGCCTAACTTCTCTGGAGATACTTATTCTCTATTTGAGAGGTTCAACATGGTAAAATAATGCAGCCTTGCCGAGTTCTTTGGGGTTGGGGGTACTCACTTGGGCAGGTAGCGAGTGACAGTGATGATCTTGTCTTTGAGGCAAACTTTATGGAAGGTCCGACCCATACTGAGCCAGTACACCGTCTCCTCCACCTCGGCCCGCCGCAGAGACACCAGACCTAAAACCAGAGGAGGACGAGGACACACAACCAGGAAATGAATGCCACATGAGACAGTTTGTGGCATTAATGTTCTACAACAAGAACTCTATACTAACAACTTAGAAGTACCTAATCACAAGCTAAATCTGAAATAATAATAAAGTAAGATCACTTTGGTGTGAGAACACGGTAGACAATCTTGAAATGTTAAGGATTTGAAATAAATAGATGTAGACAGCAAGTTAAATGAAACATGAGCTCACCCCTGGAGTAGAGCGGGCTGCTGCCCAGCGGGATGTTGGCGGGCGGCTGCGGCTTCCTGTTGTTGGGCTGCACGATGATCTGGTAGCCCTGCATCAACCTCTGACAGATGAACTCCTCAAACACCTGACCCGCACTCATCACCGGAGCTTCATCTTCACGCCTGGAAACACACAGAGGCAAACACATCGACACTTATTCTGATAATTTGGACAGGAAAACTCATATGACTCGTATTACCTTTTATTCATAATAATAATAATAATAATAATAATACATGGGATTTTTATAGCGCTTTCCTAATGCTCAAAGACACTTGAGTTGTTATTAGCTTGGTTGTTTTCAAAGGAACATAATTGATGATTCTGCCTAGCAGGTAAAACATTTATTTTTAAAGATGCACTAAACCTAGTTAATCATGTAAACTTTATGAAAGCTAATGCTGTATTTTCTTCTTTATACCAGTGTTTTCCCCAATGATTTTATTGATCCTCAATCTTAGCGTCCTATAACGATTGATCAAAGTGTAATTTCTGTCATTTTCAACTTGGACCCTATTTTCCCATTTATTTTCATCTAAGTGACTAATGGCGACGCTCTTCTTAAAAATTGCTCCACTATTGAGAGCTGTAGCTGCTGAACGGGCTGAACTGATATCCAATGAGGCAATAGTATGTATGTCCACTAAATGTGCACATTATTGCCTCTAACAGGCTCAGATTGATATTAAGTACCCAACAACATTATGGAAATGCAATCATCAGATCCTCCTTCGCACTCTCCAAGAACTTGGAGTTTCAGGCTCTGCACTTTCCCTCCTCACCTCATACCTCAAAGACCGTACCTACAGGGTAACTTGGAGAGGGTCCGAGTCCGACCCTTGTCAATTAACTACAGGGGTCCCTCAGGGCTCTGTTCTTGGTCCCCTCCTCTTCTCCCTGTACACAAACTCGCTCGGATCTGTCATTAGCCCGCATGGTTTTTCTTACCACTGCTACGCTGATGACACCCAATTAATTCTGTCCTTTCCCCGCTCAGAGACCCAGGTCGTCGCACGCATCTCTGCTTGTCTAGCTGACATCTCTCAGTGGATGTCTGCTCACCACCTCAAACTCAACCTTGACAAGACTGAGCTGCTTTTCCTTCCGGGAAAAGATTGTCCCACTCTTGACCTAACAATCAACATCGGCCCCTCTGTTGTTTCCCCGACTCAGACTGCAAGGAATCTGGGTGTGACCCTAGATAACAACCTGTCCTTCACTGCAAACATTGCTGCTACAACCCCTTGCTGCAGATACACGCTTTACAACATCAGGAGGATGCCTCCCCAGCTGACCCAGAAAGCCACGCAGGTTCTGGTCCAGGCTCTCGTCATCTCACGCCTAGACTACTGCAAATCCCTCCTGGCTGGTCAACGTGCATGTGCCATCCGACCTCTGCAGCTCATCCAGAATGCAGCGGCTCCTCTGGTCTTCAACCTTCCTAAATGTTCCCACACCAAGCCGCTTCTCCGCTCCCTTCACTGGCTTCCGGTAACTGCTAGAATCCACTTCAAGACACTGGTACTTGCGTACCATGCTGCGAATGGATCTGGCCCTTCGTACATCCAGGACATGGTTAAAAGGTACACCCCAGCACGTGCACTCCGCTCTGCATCAGCCAAACGGCTCGCTGCACCCGCACTGCGAGGGGGACCCAAGTTCCCATCAGCAAAAACACGTGGGTTTGCTGTCCTGGCTCCAAAATGGTGGAATGAGCTCCCCATTGACATCAGGACAGAAGAAAGCTTACACATCTTCCGGCGCAGACTGAAAACTCATGTCTTTCGACTCCACTTCGAGCGATAGAATTACTAACAAAGCACTTATATACTAATAAAGGACTGGCTTATCTAAAGCCAGTTGAGTAGCACTTGAAATGTTTGGCTCTATGAAACCTGATGTACTTATATGATTCCGTTTTCTTCAAGTTTGTATCTTCTTGGTCGAACGCACTTATTGTAAGTCGCTTTGGATAAAAGCGTCAGCTAAATGCAATGTAATGTAATGTAAGGGATCCTGCAGAGAAATAATACATGTTTTTTTTACCTTTTAACATGATCCTTTCTGGGTGACATTGTGTCTAAAAAGGCTCTCGCAAGGAGATGTTTTGAAATGTAGCAACTGTTGACTTGTTAGAGGGGTAAAACGATGGAAACATATATTTGAGAGAGTGCTGGTGTTGCCAGAGTTTGTTTTGCATGAGTAGAGAAAAGATTTCCAAGAACATGGCTTAACATAATGCCTATTATGTCAATTTCGTGATTATTGTGATTAGTCACTTCAAGGCCCGAACACACCAAGCTGACACCAAATAACTGACACAGACGGACCCCCAACTGTTGTGTCGCCTCGAGTCTCTGCGTCTTGGCCATGTTTCGCACTGGAACACACCGCAAAGACTTCAGCCGACGGCCAAGAAGCACGTACGAACTGCGCATGCGTGAGTGGTAATAACTCTCCTTACCAGCAGGCGGCGGTAGTGTGTATTTGTCATTCAAAAGAGGCAACAACCGGAAGACAGAATGCGTGATACACCGAGAGAAGAAGAACAGACTGCGTGATATAAACAAACAACAAATAGCGTGTGCGTTCCATTTTCACTCTACAGCGAGAAGCTCATGGGGCTTTCCCGAACCTGTGTTGAGAGCTGGAGTTAAAGGGGACCTATCATGCAAAATGCACTTGTGTACGTCTTTTATACATGAATATGTGTCCCCGGTGTGTCAGAGAACTCACCAAGTGTCAGAAAACACAACCCTCTCTCTTTTCCTCCATACCCAAATCTCTAAAAACGGGGCTGCGACGGATCTGATACAGACTGATCCAGATTTGAAAATAATCTGACGTCAGTGACGAGGAGCTGCGCCTATATGGCCAACTCTCCACCAATCAGGGGAATGAGAGGTTGCTGTGGCATGGTAACAGCATGGTAACAGCATGGTAACAGCATGGTAACAGCATGGTAACATGACGCTCGTGCCTCGCCACCCTCCTTTGCAGGGGGGCGTGGTCAGCTGCAGCGCATGCAAAGACAGGGTGGAGGAGAGCAAATAGAGCGAAATGAGGCATGGCTAAAATGCATGATCTGTTTGCTATTTTGAAAAAAAAACCGTATAAATATACCTTATATAGGTATGGCCCTACAATATATTATTCAAATATAGCATGATAGGTCCACTTTAAATGAAATCTCAGATTTGCCTTCTTAATAGTTTGTTTGGGTCCCTCACTTCCGTTTCGCTTCTCATGCACTGATTCGCTAGCTGAACAGCCAATCAGAGTGATTTATTTTGCCAACAGCCTTTGGCCGACTGCAACATGTCGAATCGGTGGGTTTTCGGCCGAAAAGGTGTTGGCACGGCTGAAAAGACAAGACGGTGCGGGACACACCAATCTGAGTAGGGCGTGTCGACGCTCATCGTCGGCCTGACGCCCATCGACGGACAAAATCGGCCTGGTGTGTCCAGGCCTTAGACACAAAAACATGGGAAAATAGGGTCCATATTGAAAATTAGAATAGTTTTTGTTTTATTTTTCCTGAAATGTGAAGGTGCCATAAGAAGTGCCAGTAGTCTAAAAAATGTTATACTTTTGTATACATTTATACAAATATATATGATTTTTTTGTTGTTGATGGTTTCGAAAGAGAGACAGGTGATGACATGCAGAAATGTTCCACAGGTCGCAATCGAACCTGAGTCCACTGGCTCTTTTCAGAATACTTTTAGTAGAAAAATCAACCATGAAAATAAATATATAAAATGTAGTAGAACCAAAAAGGATTTGAAAAGTAAAATGTCCTCCATATCATTAAATGAAATGACAGCATTGTGACAGTGAATGTATGACCAGCTGACGAGTGTCTCAGACTTATACACAGAGCTGTTCTCCGCAGACAGGAGCCTCCTACCTCTCCAGGTCGCTGTGGGGCAGCAGGTCGTAGCAGCCCTCCGTGTAGTCGTTCTGCAGCGCCTGCCGGTCTGGGAAGTAGTCCGTGGTGAGGGGGAGGCAGGCTGGGGTGGTCAGAGACTTCCAGTCCACCCCCACTGTGCAGCAGAAGCTGGGCACTGTCGGGGGTGCAGACAGCAGCAGGGCTTCAGGGGCACCCACACACACACACAAAACATCCCCACAGCAAAGACAAGTGCATGTACCCAGAGTGGAGAGGTACATGTGTGGGGGGGGCGGGAAAGGATATAGGGAGGAAGGGGAAGTACAGGAGTGTAATAAATAAAGACAGGAGGGAATAGGATGAAGATGTGAAGGTGGAAACAAAAGAGTGAAGACAAACAAAGAAGAGAGTAGAAGAGAGGGGCAGAAAAAACAGAACGTGTTACTTTACTGGTGATTCCTGAGCAGCCTGGAGTAGAGGTGCAGTGATCAGACATGCAGATTGTAGCCCGGTGACAGTCTGAGATCAACATCACTCACAAGCAAGTGAAAATGTGTGCAAGAGCCGTTTATGTATATTGTTGGAACGTCATATTTCTTGTTGAGTTTTGTCCTGTAGTATTTTTTTGAAACTAGGTGGCAAGAATTAGATGCACAGGGATGTGTAATTGGGGAGTAGGCAGAGGGAACGCACGCATGTGTTCCTAGCCCTTTTGTGCTCGGGCCCTGATTAACCTCAAACTATACTGGATATAAATACTGGAAATTCTGTAATTTGTCTGTGTACAATCCCTACAATGGCAACCAGAAAAGGACATTGGGATGTGTAAATATGTGTTAGAACTGAGTGCGATCCCTCTACATATGCCCTTCTCTACCCATCAACAATGCCCCTATTTATACCTACCTGTGCATCTAATCACCACCACTAAAACAATACAGCAGGATATAACTTAACAAAACAATATGACATGCTAACAGTTAACATAAAGGTCTCCTACAATGTGTCAAGATCTCAGGAAAGGTGTAACCTGTATAGTGAATTTAAGAAGAGAATCACATCATGCAGACATACAGCTGGTGAGCCAACTCCTAAAAATGGTGTGCAAGACAGACTTTTTTAACAGAAGGTCCAATTTACAATCAATCAAGAGAAACTGCCATGCAGGAGTGATATATATACACAAGGCTCTGTGAATGCAAACAGATCACAGTGAAGGAAAATGATGCTCATTAATTAAAGGAGTTGTAGACATGGTCATATTTCGTCATGAGACTTAAGATCAACAGAAGGCCCAGAGAAAGAGGAAGGAAAGAGTGGGACAGAGAAAGAGAGGTGACAGAGGGAGGAGGAGGGGGAACCCGAGCCACATGACCTGTAGTTGTTTATACCTGAGACCCCTGGAGATAGACGCCCACAGAAACCTGCCTGCCACAACTGAATGACCCTCACAGGTTAAGGACACCGCCAAAGGTTATCTGCCCTTATCAGTATGGTGATTATGAATCACAACCCGATCCTGAGTTTTTTTTACATACTTATAATTTATGTTTTTGTTTTCATAGGGACGAGATGGACTCACTTGGATCGGCACCGTTGAGGGAAACGTCTTCAAATGTGGAGCCGCGATTGTTTATGGTTCCTATACAGAGATCACAATTAAACATATAGAAAGACAGGAACAATATTTTAGAGGGTGCAACCAACAAATAATATATTTTTCAAGTAATCTGACAATTATTTTCAATTTCAAAAAGGAGCAAATTGAATATAGCAGTTTCCCATAGTCCAAAGCAATGTGTAAAAAACATTTTTTATGTTGTGCAATATTCTAAACCATAGAGTGTAGTTTTAAACCCAACTTGATTTACTGTCATATACAAGACAGAAAAGCAGCAAATCCTCACGTTTGAGAAGCTGGAACCTGTACGTTTATGGCACTTTTGGTTTTCAAAATGGTTGGCAATTATTTATATCCTACCAATTAATTGACTAACTGTTGCAGCTCTTTAAATGACTTCCTTTTTGGAGCTGAACATGGCTCAATCCTCATTTTGAAAGGATAAGGTTGGTTCATTGTTAAAACAAATGTATTGTCCAAAAATCGAAAGATTTAACAAAAGTTACTTTAAAGGAGGAAATAATGCATTTGTTGGGGACTATTTTCAGTGGTGGAATGATAAAGGAACTTATAACCCAGTGCAATAGTGTGTCTCATTTATAAAATATCGCCAACATTTACTCAAAAAGAAATCCTTGCTACAAGTCTGGTGTTCTTTTACCACCGCAAGTAAAGCATATTGTTTTTGAGCAGACATATCACCACTGTTGTTGCTCCCTGGACTCCCGGTGAACTCCTCCATCCCTCCACTGATGTAAAGACCGTTCTCTCCTGCATGCCTAGAGACTGTCCGCCTAGAATATAAAGGGAAATAATAAGCATTCATGTCCCTGTCTGTGACTGCTCCTAGTACAAGGATGGGTTAAAAGCAGAGGACACATTTCACTGTGTGTGCTGTGTGCATGTATGTGTGACAAATAAAAAAGGTTTCATCATCCGACTCTTCTTCTTCTTGTGCTTTAAGATGCATTTATTTACAAAAGCAAGTGCTTGTTCCTTGTGGAAGGTGGGGCTAACCTTCCAGTGGCCTCGTGATAGGCCAGCTCCAGCAGCTCAGCGGAGGTGTGGGCGGGGTCTCTCTGCTGACTGCCCTGCAGCTCAGCCATGTTCTGTCTGGTCTGGTGATGGATCTGGATAGCCTCTCCAGAAGGACCTGCAGAACAACACTCACAGTCTGATGTTTGGATAAATACCAGCGTTACTGCATTCATTTACTTCTTACTCATCCCAAAATAATTTGATGCCTTGAGTTAAAGGCGAAGGAAGTTTCCAAAAATAAGTTAATTGAAATGATCAGACATTGTATTTTTTAATACACATGTGGTGTGTGTGTGTGTGTGTGTGTGTGTGTGTGTGTGTGTGTGTGTGTGTGTGTGTGTGTGTGTGTGTGTGTGTGTGTGTGTGTGTGTGTGTGTGTGTGTGTGTGTGTGTGTGTGTGTGTGTGTGTTGCCTCACCGACAGGGAAGGTGTGCATCCAGCGCCGCCGGTTGGAGGTGAGCTTCATGGGCATCCTGGACGGCGTGAAGGGGTTAATGAGTGCTCTTTGGGGGGTGTACCCTCCGGGGCGGATGTGCAGGGTGGACTCAGCACTTCCCACGGTGAACCTGCCCGGGGCACTGGAGTCCCGCTGAGAGTCCATCATCTTCTCCAACAACTCTGAACAACACAGCAGAAAGGGAGAATGGAATGGAGAAAGGAAAACGGTGGAGTGAAAGTGTTTCTCTTCAAGGGACAATTCAGATATTCTGAAGTGTTGCTGTATGAGGTACTTATCAATAACAGTTGTTTAACAGGGAAAGCAGATAAACATATTTTTTTCCACCAAAAATATTCAACATCAGTTTACTCTATATTTTTGATCTGGCCAGCCCTTGCCTACAGGGGACTCAAGGCGTTAACTATCATCTCTTGGAACCACAAGCCTCCATTGAAAATGACAGTCATTTATCTTGCAGACTATGGAAGTTTCTGGTTGACTTTGGCCTTGATCGATTAGTTGATGTTCTTGTGTGACTGGTGATATAAAGGGGTTAGTTGGAAGTCACACAATAACACAAACAAACTTACGGATCAGTGGTGGATCAGCAATATCCATGTTTAGCAAGTTAAAATGACTGTTTTTGTCAAAGAGTCTGGTGTCTTATAAGAGCATAGATGACTATACCAGCTTTAATTGTGCTTTCTAAAAGGCAAGGTAGAGTGATGAAAATATAAGAAATATTATAAAAATATTAGGGCCGGGACTTTAACGCGTTAATTAAGATTAATTAATTACACAACAATTAACGCGTTAAAAAAATTAACGCATTTTAATCGCACTTATTTTTGCACCGCGGAACGTTTCTCACTGGATGAGTTTCAGGCGTACCGATTATACTGGAGCACCAACTAACGTTCATGACTTCAGACAACAACAAACCACAGTGAACAACAGTGGGAAATGTTGTTTTAAAAAACGGACGGATGGAAGCGTCGATAAGAGCACGGTTGTGTGCAAATTATCCAAAAAGGAATTCGCATATCACCGCAGCACATCAAGCCTCAAGTATCACCTCAATGCAAAACATATAGCAGCTAGCGTGGAAGCTAGCGTGGACGTTAGCCTCTTTTATCGCGTTCACACCAAAAAGAGCCGGTACTAAAATTAGTTCATGAGAACCTTTTTACCCCCACGAAAGTCCCTGCTAGAGAGCAGAGAGCTGCTAGAGAGCAGGGACTTTCGTACGGCTCTCTTGTGAGAAAAGAGCTATATTTCTGATTGGCTGGGCGGATTGCAAACCACGCCCCGTAAAACTCCCAAAAAGTTTTGTGAAGCCGCCATTTTATTATCCTCGCATTAGCATTATTAGCATTAGCCCAGCGCAGAAACGCAGAGAGACTAACTTATGGCAACACAAAATAAAACATGGGAGCGGTGGAGATGAGGAGGTGTCGGCGTTCTGGCGATTTACTCGGAAGGCTGCTGGGACTCCCAGCAGCTTCTACTGAAGCCAGTCCCCAACTCCGGGGACTTCCGGCCGGGGACTTTGGGCGGCAGTATACGCCGTGAAGTGGTTTGCGGCCTGCCAGTAAACCCAAAGCAGAAGAAGAAGTGACGTCAGCGGCTTCATTTGCCTAATCCACCCCCAGGTTCAAAGAGTTCTCATGAACTAAGTTCTCATGAACCTTTGTGGGAAAAGTACTGCGGTGTGAATGCGCCTAATGGTATACTAAAATCCATGTGAAAAAAATTGCTTCTCACTGTTCTTAGGTCAAATATTTATATGTGATTAAAAATGCGATTAATTTCGATTAATTAATTACAAAGCCTCTAATTAATTAGATTAATTTTTTTAATCGAGTCCCGGCCCTAAAAAATATACATTCCTTTAAATGAGTGTGGTATGCCTGGCTGCTTCTCTAAGGTGGGAGAATTCCTTTTGTCATTTACCACAGATACACTGACCCTGGATAAGTACCTCATACCTCCAATCTATCCCTCTTGGATGTGAATCAGTTACCTCTGGTGCTGGTGTATCCCAGGGAGCTGCTGACTTCATACTGGACCAGAGGCATGCGGGGGATGAGCAGCATGTTGGACACAGGGCCCAGGCTGTCGTCAGAGGCCAGGCTGCGCTGCTCCTCCGGCCCCGCAGAGCGAACAGGAGGCGACGCTCCGATGCTCGCACTGACCTCCACCGAGCCCCAGCTCTTCCTCCCACTGGTCCCACTCGCCTCTCTGTCTCGACCCATTCTGAAAGACACAGTCATTGATCACCAGGGTTGGAGGTCCACAAGGATAACTCTAATAGTATGCCAGTGGCGTTCCCTGATGCATATTCCCCATAAATTAATATTTTGTCAGTTTTAATTGACAGTGTTTGGAACCTAGCGGCGTAAGTAGAAGATTTCCTGATGTGAAGGTTCTCTCGTGTTATATGGATGATTGTTCCCAACCACGAAGCCATTTTGATGTATTAATATCAAGATTTAGAGCCAACAGACTAAATAGTACTTGTTTTGTTTTTGGTGTGTTCAATTGAAGAATGCTTTTCAAATTCAAATAAAACTCCACGTCGGGGAAGACTCAAGATGTATAGCATATTCATTATTCACCATAAATACTTTGAATGAGTAGATAGTTGTTACCATAATGATAGAATACAGGTTATTATTCCAAGTACTTTGAATAATAAACAAGTCACACAAATGCCTGGTTAAAGTTGCGCAACTTTCATATAGCCAAAGTAAGCCCTGGAACCACACAGGGTGTACTGTGTGTCTAACTAAAGCTAGTTTAGGTACCTGAAGTTGGTGCTCCTCTGAATTCGTGAAGGGCCAGGCAGTCTGAACACCTGAGCATCATGGGCGTCGTAGTCCACCTGAATAGGGAGGCTGTTTTCAGAGTCCTTTGGAGCGCAGAGAGCTGGAAGAGGTTTAGCATCATTAAGATGTATCCAAGGCTCCCTGTTTTATAGCAATCTTTCCATCAACTGTAAAGCCATTGCACAAATCAACCTCATTGTGGCACTTGAGGAAAGTCAGGAGATAACCAATGTCAGAGGCAATTATATAATGACAACAATGCATATCTAAATAATCCAGGAGATGCTGAGATATATTTGACAGTGGAGAAACAGGCCACCCCTGGCATTCTAGAGATTAGAAAGAGCTCAGAGAGGCAACGGGTTGTAACTTACTGTGTTCCTTGCTGCTCTTGAATTTCTCAGCATGAAGCTACAAGAAATGTAGATTTAACATGTCAAAACATGCAAAAAATAACTTTTTGAATTTGTTAAAGTCACTCAACAGTCCGTGATCAAATGTGAATGCACCTTGCGTCCGGCCAGTTTGATTCGAGGAGTAAAGGAGCTGCAAGAGTTCTGACTTTTGGAGGTGTAGAAGCTGCAGGTGTGGAAGAAAAAGATGCAAGTTATCAGCTTTGCATAGAATGAAAATGTATATTTATTTATCAGTTGAATGTTTAACCTGTGGTTGATCCAGTGAGGAAGGTTGTAGTCGTCTCCAACCCGAGAGTCTCCAGGTGCTGTCCTGTTGTGTAGCTACAGAGAGGATGAGCATCAGAAACCAACAGGTATAACATCCAATGTAACAGAAACAAACTCTCTGAATCAATACTGCTCAAGCAGGTGTCCAGTATGAACAGGAGGAATGATGAGAGCAATCAAACCCTGTTTCACTTCCATATGTATGAGTTTTGTCAGACAGACTTTGAAAGCTGTTGACCTATGCTTTAAAGATCTCAACCTTAACATGACTAAATCCCAATCAATATTCAATCTTGTATTACAACACCTACCATGTATTACATTGATCTACTAACCACTTGTATGTAATATACACGCCATCTAGCTAGAGCCAGTGGTGAAATGTAATTAAGTACATATACTCAATTACTGTACTTATGTACAAAGCTATTTTTGCATAATGCTACTTTACACTTTTACCCAACTACATTTTGTAGGAAAATAGTCAACTACTATTACTCCAGTGCAAATATTTTGCATCTTTAATCAATAGCTACTTTACATGTTTTAGGTTTATCAACCCAGCATTATTTAAAGTAAACAAAATACAATATTTAAGTGATGAACATACTGATGCATCAATAATTATAAAACAATTATTTAATATATATTATTGTAAAATTCTGCGTGATGAGTACTTTTGGTACTTTAAGAATATTTTGATGCTGATACTTTTATACTTTTCTTTAATACAATATTGGATACAGCGTAGTATTGCTACTTTAACTTTAATAAATATCTGAGTACTTATTGCTGCTGAACTGGATTGGTGTATTGACAGGTCTTTCTATTATCGCATTATTACCAATGAGGGTGGAGAAGTACCATCTCTCTGCATAATGCATTACATTTCAACAACGCAAACTATTCCTCCATCATAATCCTCTTACCTTAACTAGGTCCAGAAACTGCTGACTTGATGTGTGTGTTTTCACAACAGGTGTATGACCTAAGCATCTACAGTCCGAGTGTATTACCTTGAATAGCGGTACAGCGTGTAATGGCTGCTCGCCCATACACACCAAGTCCACCCCGATACCTAAAGAGGGAGAAATCACCTTGCAATATATGACATTATATTTAGCTGACGTGTCTATTCAAAGCAAATTACAGTGAGGATACAAACCATGTGTTGGACACGTGATTGTGTCATCACTCACCATTGTCAATCATACGCTGCTTGGTGAGAATCATAAGCAGACGGTCCACTTCGAACACCCCCACCCCCGGCGTGATGACCACCGACATCTGGCCGGTGCGGTCAAAGTTACGGTTGATGTAGTGCTTGTCAAACACTGCGGAGACATGGCCAGTGTCAGCTGTCTAATCTTTATCAGTTAGTAACAAGAGACAGACGCTGACTCATCTGGATATATCCTTCTAAAAAGAACAACTTTTCAAGATGTCCACTTTTGGATACACTTTGGAACTCACGCAGAGAATGAGGCCAGAGTGAACGAAGAGAATGAGTACCGTAAGTACTACCTGTTTATTTGATTTAATGTTATGAAAATTCAAGAGTTTTCTTTGTAACTTTCTGATGGGTCAGGAACTTCTTTAAATTAAATATTCCATGCAAGGCTATGTTCCCCAAAATGTATAGAAAAATTCAGTAACATTATTCTTTATTCACGGAATACAGGCAGACAAGAATATCTGTCTTTCCTGAGGACTCCTAACACGGACCCAAAGGAAGGCATTCATTGGTCCATGGAGGAAGTCTAATAACCAGCCTGAGGCTCAGCCGTGCAGTGCATCAAACGTTCACATTCAGGGGTTTATATAGTGGTGTGACTAGAACTGTGAAATCTAAAAAAAATCAATATAATATTATGTTATAACACATATTTTATTATCTTGTAAATTATCCATCTTCTCTTAAAAAGATGCTTATGTACACTTTTCTGCTTTTGTACTCTTCCTCACTTCACTTGTATTACAAATATAATTAATTTCCTTAAAGAGAGACAATATTGAAAGTAACTTAAGGATATTTTATTGATTTTCTAAAGATAATATAATGATCATGAATCACTTTGACCACAATGATCATGTAGTGTACATCTGACAACGTGACAGGATGGTCATGTTATATACATTTTCCTATATATCTATAATAAAAAAATCCCAACCCAAAAATCTAAAAACACAATATTGGATAGGGAAAATAATCAATCACTCAGCATGAACACAGCTCGGTCACAGAAATGTTTTTTTCAGCAATTCCAACTGAGGAACTTTATAGAATAACAGATTTAAATAATGAACGAGTCACAATAGCATTTCCGTCTGATTGTCACCCTAACAACTCGTTTTGATCACTAACACAATTTAGAATAAGTCACCTAGCCACTGTCTCTCAGATGAGGACATACAGTCAAATATCTATATAAAGGTGTTACAGTTATATGCCCACATTAAACACCTCTGCTTTTTCTGGGATCAGACATGTTCTGGAATTGGACCACTCACCATTGAAGGAAAGGTTGATGGCCTCCAGGTAGTTTCCTTGAGCAGCAGTGGAGTTGTAACCGACAGGAAAACCATCTGGAATGAGAGTAAATAAAGAAGACACACAAAGCAGGAGTTTGGTTACAAAAGGCAGCTGACCTTCAGTCAGCTGAACACTGGACAGATCCACTACCTTCTTCCTTCAGCCGCACCAGCACAGGATACTGGATGAAGAGCTTCTTGATGGTGACCAGCAGGGACGTCCACTCATCCCGCCTCTCGTTCTGAGCCACCACCCTGAGCACAAAACAGTGAAGCACACCATGATCTGCATCCTCTAATATGTACCTTGGATCACCTTAAGTTATTTCATCACATTTGTGTATAGTTGCTATGGTTACCTGTAAAAGTCTTCATAAAAACGTCCATCGTGATCCTGCCTGATGGAACCTCTCAGGATCTCAGGAAACTCCTCTGAGGGAAATTACATTTGTATTAATGATAAATGTTTCAATAACTCACTGTGCTCGACAACCAGTATTGGAAGTCCTTTTTACTTGGGTATTTCCATTAATCTCATTCATACTTCTACTGCAATTTGAAAGCTTATATTGTACTCTTCACTTATCTACTTTTATGTCAAAATATTAGGTACTGTTAATAAATATTACATACAGTACGATAAATATAAACCTATTGAATTATGGTCACTATTATGGATTTAGATACCTTTTTACGTAAAACAAGTCCTTAAAGTAAGCTCCACCTATACCAGCTGCAAAATTAAATGGATTACTAACTATGATTCAGTTATATAATAAATAGTTATATACTATAGATGTTACATAAATATATAATATAGATAAATAAATTATTCTGAACATTTCCATTCTGCATGAGTGCTTTTAGTTTTGGTACTTTAAAAAAGGTCCCATGTCATGGCCATTTCTACTGATCATAATTCCATTGTTGAGGTCTACTAGAATAGATTTACATTGTTCAATGTTCCAAACTCACATTGGTTTCTCATACAGCATCTCTGTATAGTATGTGTATTCACTCTCTGTCCTACACGGCTTGTTGGAGCTCCTGCCCCCCCCCCCCCTCCCTATGAGCCCACTGTGCTCTGATTGGTCAGCTCGCCCACTCTGTTCTGATGAGTCCACCACCGTTACAGCGGAACATCAGTGATTATGTGTTACAATGGCGTTTGTTAGCAACCAGAACATGACACCAGTAATGACAAACAGATGAGAATGCTGCGTGAGGTCTGGGTGCCGTGTTGGCGGGACGTTGCGCGGCTCGCTGCTGTGAGGAGCGGACAGTGTGAGCTGGATTACTGGTGTCGTTTCCTGGTTGCTGCGTGGGGTCTGCGGGACAGCGAGACATTGCGAAACTCAGCCTGAGCACCAGGGACGCGGGAAGGGGGGGTGCTGAGGGGGCTGCAGCACCCCCATCTGCGAGGCTCCACTAGCACCCCCCCAGCGCGCCACAGTTTCGCCGCTGAGAGAGTGTGTGTGTGTGTGTGTGTGTGTGTGTGTGTGTGTGTGTGTGTGTGTGTGTGTGTGTGTGTGTGTGTGTGTGTGAGGAGCTCCACGGATTGGTCCATTTGCACCAATGGCTCCATTGGGTCGTCGTCACGTCACTTGGTTCCCGGAAGAAAAAAAATGGAAAAAGAGAAATATCCAACAAGGCGTTCTGGGGCAGCATAGACAGGTATTTTCTGTGTTAGAGTTTTAGAGTTTTGAGGGTTTTTGACTCTGCAGACCGTTTACATGCAGAAAAACCTTCATAACACACAAGGGGACGGGTGATAACCGGAAAAGCATGACATGGGACTTAAGTTTTGTTTTATTTTGTCATAATGGTACTTTACTTGAGTATTTCTATTATATGCTTCATTAAACTTTCACTCCACTACATAAATACACATTAACCTTTTTATATGATATTTATAAGTATCCAAAATTGCCTCAAATTTAAATTGCCTCAAATTGACACATTTAAATTCTCTTACATGTATTTGTAAGCAATGAACAAGATAATATAATATTCCTAAAAATATAATACTTTGAAAAGACCCACTGTGCATAATGGGTGCTTCTGATACTTTAAGTATATTTGGTCGATCATAATTCTGCACTTCAACTGATATTTAGAAAATCAGGACTTTTAGTAATAATAGAGTATTTTCAAGCCAAAGTATTTATACCATTACTGAAGTAAAGGATCTGAATACTTCTTCTACCTCTGGTAACAATATAGGAAACACTCACCAACAGTCTTGGCGTTGAAGAATGTACGTGAGAAAAGTACCACTGTCACCTCATGACTGCAGTTCTTCTCCTGTGTTAACATCAAAACACTGCTGTTGTTTCATATTTGAAAGAACATGTTACAACAAATGAGAAAAAAAGGAAAGAAATCACAAACCTTCCACTTGGCAAAAAGGTCCGACAGGAAGCCGTTTACAGCCTTCTCAAAGTACAGATCACCTGAGAGCAGGACATTAATATCACTGATGAATACACATAAACAGATCAAACCTGCTTACACAATGTGAGAGGCTCAACTAACCATAGATGTCAAAGTCCCACATCTCACAGCTCATCTGGATGAAGATGTACACCATGGCAGACGTGGAGCGGAACACCACCTGGGTCACAAGATCAAGACATTCAAGAGAAGTGAGTGATGATTCAAATAAATAAACACTGCAGTGAATATTCAACAGCTCTAAAGCTTAAGGAAGTCAGTTTCTATGTGTTGCAACATATGATCCTTCAATCAGTAAGTCATCAAAACGTTTGTGGTGTACCTGCGCTCAAAGGAAACATGAATTTCAAGCCAACGTATTTCCAGCATCACTTCTGCCAACACTCTCATAATGTGTTAAATTGCACCATAAGTTGTGGTGCAAAAAAGTGAAATACTGCTTGACCATATAATTACATATTACATTATTACCTCTTATTTTATTTCTAACTCTAACCTGTCTATTTGCTGTGACTAATGTGAACATTTGAATGACTATTTGTGTGTATTTATTGTCTTCATCATCTCCACCAGGCGTAAGCCGGTGTTTATACATGTGTTTCTGTCCACAGCGGATCATGCATACCACTGGACCCATCAGACTGTTTGATCAGTGTTGGCTGTGAATTACAATTGGTGAAAACATGCAATTGACTGTTTGATAACACAGTGACCAGCACTCCGCTGGCTAAAAGCAAGCCTTCCCTGTGTGTTACAGGTTAAAGTTGGCCTTTGCCGTGGCTAAAGAAATGACACCAATAGAGTTAGCTCTCATTTTGAATGGAAACAACAACCTGATTTATTACGATCTACAAAAGTAAGGTATGAGAGAACGTGAAAAAAATCTGTTTTATTTTCCACCATGTTGACTTCAAGGGAGACAGGATGGACAATTGAGTCAGATTTAACTCTTCTTTGTTTGGGAGGAGGGGGAGACACCTGGCAAGATCGGCACTCTACTGACTGCACCTTATTTCTTTGTTGTAACAATGCTTCTTGGCCATAAATCTTATACTGTTGGAAAGTTCTTACCTTTCAAATGGTGCCACATTTGTGAGGAACATGCATCAGTGGGATGAGCAGCAGAGCTGAGTATGTGGGTTGCGCCCATGAAAAATGTGACAAATCTCCTCTTCCAATGCCAAACAGCAGCCACTCTCCGGTCTCGTACGGCTGCCAGGAGCCTGCCATGACTGCCCTTCACCTTCAGGCCAACTTGCACTAGAACCTCAACATGTGGAGGAACATTATGTTCAGCGATGAGTCCAGATTCTGCCTACAGCACATGGATCACAGGGTCACAGTGTAGAGAAGACGCAGAGAGCGCTTTGCCGATTGCTGCACCGAACGGATACAATATTTTGGTGAAGGCAGTGTGATGGTGGGGGGCGGCATCTCCCTCACTGGAAAAACCAGGCTTCTCAGCATTGGAGGCAATCTCAATGCAGAGAGATATTGAGATGAAATTCTGCAACCAGTGACAATCCCATATCTCAAGAGTCTGGGACCAAACTCCATTCTCCAAGATGACAACGCTCAACCCCACAGAGCGAAGATCTTTGGAGTGAAGAGGATGGAATGGCCTGCCTGCAGTCCTGACCTCAACCCCATTGAACTCTTGTGGGATCAGCTTGCTGTCAGAGTGACCAACACAACCACGTTGGCTGACATGGGACAAATGCTGATTGAAGACTGGGATGCCATCCCACAGCAGAGTGTGAGCAGGCTGGTGACCAGCATGAGGAGGAGAGGCTGTGGTGGCTGTGTGTGGCTCCACCAAACCCAACCAAAAGAGAGTCAGCAGGTGAAACAGCTGTTTGGCATTGATAGAGGAGATTTGTCAAATGGTCATTGCCGCAACCCACATTCTCAGCTCTGCTGCATATCCCACTGATGCATGTTCCTCACAAATGTGGCACCATTTGAAAGGTAATTATACTGGCTTTCCAATGGTAGAAGTTGTTCAAACAAAGAAATCATTTACCAAACACACATTTCCTTACTTTTTGTGTTACATTTAGATTGGGATTACTTCAAGTATTGTTGTGCTGTTGGTAAATATCTGTTTTCAAACTGCTCTTACCCTAGTGTCTTCACTGATGTACCCACAGGTCACTTTCTCTCCCTTCACCCACAGTTCACTGGCCTGGGCTCTGCAAAATGAAAACAGCATGAGCTTGCATGTAGTGACAGACACATTATACACTCATCATCACCATTGCATATAAAGAAAACAAAGCAAGGGACAGCTAAGATCAAATCAAACCAAAAACAACCGTCTTATAACCTGTGTTATTGCCCTTCTACTAATTCAATGCAATATGAATACAGATCATTAATAAAACAGACAATCGAAAACATGATTAGAAGAAGCGGGAGGGCAGAAAGCATATAAAGAAAAAAGCCCTCCCGTTAGTCATTCGGTTTCAACGTTTCTGGTCAGGGACCCAAATATTAAGGCATTTTAACTGCAAACTTACGACGTGGGATTCCATGTGTGTCTGTACAGTATATAAATACACATAGATAAACAAAATGCTATGTATACATACACATATATACAGCACATAAACATATACCACTGACCACTAGAAGCTCCACACGTGGCGACCTATCAGTCCCATTCAGGAAGAGTACTTTTGGTCAGTCATCATTCTCGGTCAGAGCAATACAAAACTGGAACTCTCTACCCACTCAAATCAAAGACATACACATCCCACCTTCACAGCTCACTTCAAAACATGGTTCACTGAGAACTACACCTGCACACACTAGTCTGTGTTGAGTATGGCGTGAGTGTTACATGTTGTGTTACATGTTGCCCCTGGTTTCTGTGATGTGATTGTGATGTGCTCTATGTGACATGTACTGTATATAGTAACGTGTGTTGTTTATTGTTCTCTTTTATCCTCACACCGGTATCTACTTGTCTTTCCTCCTTTTATATATTTTCTTACTAACTAATGCTGTTGATATATTGTCATTTTAAGGGTGTCTATTTCCATCTGGCCATGTCGGCTAAAGCTGCACCATTTACTGTTTTTGTGACAGTTCATCGAAGGGGACTGTCCACGACACTATAAATAAATAAACTAATATATATATACACATTTTGAGAGTGAAAAGAAAACACAATACCAAATCAATGAAAAGCAAAATAAAGAGGTATGTAAATGTTCTTTTACTTCTTAATGTCACCCTGCATGCCTTTATTGTAAATAGAGTGTAGAGAATACAATTAATTATCAGTACCTGATTCCAGCAAACTCCACTTTCTGCGTCACATAAGCACCTGTGCTCACCTGGAATCCAAAGGATACATGTTAAAACCTCACATAACTTTTCCTTTTCACATTGTATCCAGATATGATCCTTCTCATGTCCCACCAGACTCTTCTTCAGCCTCCACATGTCTCCTCTGCCGATGTACTGGTCCTTGAAGGTCAGCTCCACCAGGTCCAGTGTTACATCCTGCAGGAAAAGGCGAAACTATGAGAGATTCTGTTCGCTGACAGAGTGTGGAGACGCAGATAGGTCGCAGTGAACATACCTTTGGGTCCACAATGTTAACAATGACATCCTGGTAAGCACGCAGCTTGAAGGCTTGTGCTACAGTGTGATCCACACTGATGGTCTCTGGATAGGAACACAATAAATCAAGATATTAGTTTAAGAAATGACTTGATATTACTATAATGTTATCACTATTTCATCTGTGCAGCTTCAGAATCAGATTTACTGCTGATGAGGTTTACATATACAAAGAAAAAGGAAGAAATATATATATATCTATTTTTTATTTTGAAACAGGAACTGGGTTATGTTATGCATTTCTGCTTGAAAAAATACGTAATTCAATAATATCAAAGTATTCGATCTAGACTCCTTTTATTTTTGAGATATAGCAAACATTTATACATTCAAACGTTTGATCATAATGAATGTACCTTTCTGGAGGTCCTCTTTTAGGCTCTTCACCTGAAGCAGAAGAGGACTGGGAATAAAAAAGAGACATGACCAGATTATAAAGTCAGAAGTGTAACAATATGAAGAGGAACATTCCACAGCAATCCTCTCATTGTGCAGTCTCACCTGTACTCATCTGTAGGGTGTGCAATCTCAATGATATCCCTCAGACTGACTTGAGGGAAAACCTTTGGGTTGACAAGCAACTCATCATCTGTTCAAAGGAAAAGTTCATTTGTAAAACAATTTGATAGAAATCACATTTTTCACAAGAGAATCATTTATTTTGAAAGTATGAATTGGAGGTGATTGCTTACCACTACCACCAAAGCCTTTCTTGTGCAGCACAAGCTTATATGATTTGTTGGTCTTCATAATGAACCAGCTGGAGATCAACATATTAACTTGTTATGTGACTTCTTACAGTTGCAGGCAATAACACGAGTATTTGTATTCCATATCACTAAACTACAATACATTCAAGAGGTATTTTTGTATTACTATGACTTATTGGAGTATTCAATAACACATTAACGTAGATAGGTAAGAACAAGTGAACGTATAAAATACATATAGAAGTACCTCAGCAGGCTCTTCTCAACAACTCGAGCTCCTTTAGCAGCACAACCTGCCCTGTGATGTTGACATACGCTAGCTTAGCACGTGTCTCATTTGAGAAGACCTACAGCGACTGAACTACTAGAAACTAACATTAACACCAACGTTAAAATAACGTTAACTTGTAACTACGTTTTTAACTTGGAATTAGAAAGCAGCTAACTAACTAGCTAGCTCTCACTGGTCGCACTTCCTCCAAAACATGGGCATGCGAGATGTGATTGGTTAGCCGCGGGTCAGAGAGTATTTAGCGAAGCAAGAGGGCTCACTCCGCTTTATTTTTACTAAGATTAAAAAGTATGTTTCTTACGGTTGACCCCATTATGTCCATGAATTCACCCAAATTCCAAACATACAAGACCTTTTCCTTAATAATATGTACGTATACATCAAACAAATCTGCATGATCCAATTGAAAGGTCATACAACTATGATGTGATGCATTATGCATATGTTAGTTCATTCATCTTTGTTTACATATAAGGACCATCTCATTAATAAAGGCAAGCATGTATACAGTAAGCATTTGGTTTTACAGGGGATAAGAAAGTCCTAATCATTAACGAATACATTATGAATGTTGCGTGTAAATCTTGCATAGCCTGACATAATTTTAATATAATCATGACAGAACACTTCAGACAGCTGATAAACCACTTTATTAGTTGACAAAAATACTGTTTACACTTTCATTAGATAAAAGTAAACACACTTTAAATAAACCTTTATCACCCACAGTAAGAGGTGACACATATTCCACCACAATACTGTATAAAAAAACAAACACTATGACAGTAGCAAAGACATTCTTAAGCGCCCATACAAGGGTTTTTACCAAAAGTTATTGGCCTGTCCCATGGTGGACAAAATGGAGTTTGTATTTAATAGAAAAAAAAGACCAATACTACATGGGAAGACCATAAACTAAAACGATTAATTTGAGACGCTGATTTGATTTGTTATTAGCCTTCTTTAATGTTTTATGTTAGAACATTCTGGATGAAATACTGACAACTATCCCATAACAAATGTCAAATTCATTTAATTTAGTTTCAGCAAACAGTGACCCTTTCCATCAATAACAATCGGCTTCCAGGAGCTCATACTGGTTGAACCTTTTGGAATCAGAATATATGGCAGTTTAAAAAATGTAAATGGAACATCAACAGCAGCTTCTCTTTGTGTCTTGCTGCGCCGCCTCCTCCAGGTTGGCCCGATCTGATTCTGTCGACACAAAGATTACGGGTACATTAAATTAGCCTCAATGCTTTCATTATCAACATCTCTGCTTATTAGGAGCTATGTTATTTCTTACTGATACTATTTCCACATCCGATGCTAGCAGGGGCTCCATTCTCCATGTCCTTCAGCATGCACTTCTCAAAGGCCAAGGCTGCCACCCTGAAGAAAAAACCCTGCACGTTCTCCCCTGAAAATAAAGAAAAGGGTATACTTTCTTACGGTGGCGCTCTGCAAAGACAATACTATTTGTATGCTTGTTTTCCCAATGTACTATATAGCAGCGACAAGTATAAGCTCTTGGTTTGACCTGTTTTAGACGAAACAGCCCAAAACTCTGCATGCATTTCTCTTGCTATCCTGATGGCATCTTTTTCTGTTCGCTGTCTTTCTTCTAAAGGCTAAAGAAGGAGAGAGTTGGGTAAGAGAAGAACAATGGGTTGTGTGCATAGTAAACATATACAATCAAATAAAATATGTTCACCATTAGGTCACTCTTAGTGCCAACCAAGAAGATGAAACAGGAGTCAGGTTCATTTTCTCTCATGGCCTCCTCCAACCATTGGCTATAAAAACAAAACAAAGTTCTTACATTATTTGAATGTGAAACATGCCCTTCCAGTTGTATGTAGTATTTGAATTTGACTCTATACTATACAGAATCCTGTGACCCTGTAAAGGATAAGCACTTACAGATAATGGATGTATGGATGTATATTAGAGATTTTTATAAACATGTATATGCTTTAGATCATTCTGGTTCCAGGTCTCTAAATCACCACCAAAATGCCTATTGAGTCTAAATTGCCATGACTATGACTTCGACAATAAATGTTACATCTAGATACTTAATTCCGGAAAATAAACAAATGGAATGATAGATAGCTATCATTATTGACAGATACGCTAGCGGCTATGGTGATACATTGTCACTTTTTTTGTTTAACATTTACTTTAAGTTACTACATCCCAGTGTGTGGCAATAATTGCTGGCTGTTATTTTGTGACAGAGATGTCTTTACAATTAGATATTACTGGCTGCTGACTCAGTGGTAGCTTTGCCATTCATTATCTGATGTTGTATGTGTCTAAAGAAAACACCATTGTACTGTAGGTAAGGGCACATTGTTGAATTATCCCAATGATAAGGTTGTGTCAGACCTACCTTGTATGATCGAGGGACTTAATGTCTGCCATGTCAAAGACTGTGATAATGACTGGAAAAGATGAACAAAAAGTGTCAGCATTATTAGTTTGCACTAGCTAATATGTAAACTGGTCTCACCTAGCATCAGATCCACAATAAAAAACGATCTTACCCTGAGCTCCTCTGTAGTATGCAGTAGCGATGCACTTGAATTTTTCCTGCCCAGCAGTATCCCAGCTAACGAAAAGAAAGTACTTAAGAATGGCAAAAAACTAAAAAGAAAAGTACTCAGAAAGTACTTACATGTATGCAGAATATCAAATCAAACTACTCACATCTGAAGGGAGAAAGGCACTCCGGATATCTCAAACCTCTCAATCTCAAAGTCAACTCCTATGGTGGCCTTGTAGTCTCTTTCAAATACATCCTTACAGAACCTGAAAAAGGCATATTTATTTTTGTGGTGTTCAGAACTCCACTCACAATAGAATAGTGTCAAACCAGATTTGTCTATAATTATTCAGCTTTTTTAGTACTAAATCCCTAACCTGCTTTTAGGTGGAATCAGTTGGTTACAAAAGACTGATGTGTTCATACTATATAGTCAAGAAACATGTTCTAAGGTTAATGCATGAACTGGGTTTCCAACCTTTTCCAGTCAGGATAAATCTGATTGTCTTTAAGATGGTTAGCAGCACGGCGAAGTGCATCACTAAATTACTACGATATCTTTCTGGTCAATCCTTTTCAATTGTAGATACCTGGATACTATTTACATCTTTTAACTCTTAACAGTATCCGATTAAACAATATTCAGGAACTGGCCACTACCCATAGACCGTGGTGCAACCTGTGATAAAGGATCACAGGTACTCATGATTTACTTGAAGAGGTCACTCGCCATATATTGTGATCACAGTTAAATAGGTTCCATCTTAATTGGCTAATTGTTGAATTGTTTGTACCTATTAATGAGGCAGGTCTTCCCCACATTCAGGTCTCCAACAACCACCACTTTTGACATTTTCTGGCGGTCCCATCTTCAAAGAAGACAACATGACAGTGAGATATTAAAGCTTTTCATTTGATGTTAATCTATAAGGCATTGACACAAATCAGGAGACTCACGGCTGACGACTGGTGGCTCCGTCTTTACAGGCTGCTTTAGCCTGAATGTCCCAGTCTTTCTTCAGCTGCAGAGCCGCGTTACGTGTGTAGCACTAAAAAACAACAAGAACATACATTACTTACATGTATTTGCCATTACATACACTGATAACAAGACTTAGATTCTGAAAGGCTGTACTTACGCCAAGCAGTGCTTTGAGTTCAATGCTAACATGCTAACAATGTTAATGCTAACATGCAGATGGTTAGTATTATGTTCACCATGTTTAGTGGTTAGATTCCTAACATTTAATAATAAAGTATTAGCCAAACTAAACAATGTATGTGATGATGATGCTAAATGAAAAGTGAACGGATCTCGTTCAACTCAGTTCATCTCGAGTGGGACACTCGTTTTTGTACCATACGTCAGGGAAATCCATTGATAGGTTGTTGAGACATTTCAATCAAAACCCTAACAGTGGCACTACAGAAAGTAAAAAGTGTTAGGGAATAACTTGCTTAGGTATTCAACCTTTGACACAGTTAATAATGTTCTCCTTTCACTGTCTCCTTTCCTACGGCACAGGTCTACGGCCTTCGGGTATTGCTGCTATCTCTCTTAAGGAGGGGCAGCTTGGGTGCATTGTTGTTGCCAGCTTATGACCGAGCACAAGCTGATATGAGATAGTTTATGTTCAGGGACATCTAGAAGCCCTTATTTTTAGGAACGTAGGTTCCCTGGTGCACAGTCTTTTCTATGGACGACAGCTCTAGTTAGATTCAGGGTCCATATTTATTTAGTCTCACTGATGAAGAATGTTGATTATTACACTCCGAACTAATGAAAACCTCCAACTACAGAAGAGTTCTTCAGAATTGATTTGGCATCTCAACCTGTGTCAACTCTTGGCTCTTGAGATGTCTTGTGAATTCTCCGGCCGAAGCTCCAAATAAACCGTCAGTGTTTGCCATCAAAGCTCCAGCTCTCCTCGTGTCTCTCTGAGTCCTGTTTCCAATTGCTTCAGAAGTTTCCCTCATAAAAAGGATCACCCAAGTCTTTAGGATACATTGTATGGAACCCATGAATGCCTGTATAATATATGTTATCAATTCATTAGGTAGACATTTGATTTGATGATTGCAGAAGATGAAAAGTCACCAAAGCAGGACAATTGTACCACTACCAACATGTATGGAAATCCATGTGATAGGTTACATTTCACTGAGGCAATTGAAAATGATGATGGCACTACGTCACGATTCTCATGTAATGTCACGATCTGTCTGTGTTGTGTTTTGTCTTGTCTAGATCTGTCTTTGGTTTTCTGTCTGCGTTGTGTTTTGTCTTGTTTAGATCTGTCTTTGGTTTTCTGTCTGCGTTGTGTTTTGTCTTGTTTAGATCTGTCTTTGGTTTTCTGTCTGCGTTGTGTTTTGTCTTGTTTAGATCTGTCTGTGGTTCCCTGTCGTTAGCTTCCCTGGTGTGTCTAATTTACCTGATTGTGTTCACCTGGTGTCCCTGTGTTTTCTCCTCCCTCCTCACCTGTGTCTTGTTTGTATGATTAGTCTTGTGTGTATTTAAGTTCTGGTTTTTCTGTTTGTCTTTGTCGGTTCATCTTTTGTTGGTGACTGAGTTCACCGGTGAGTGTTCTGTTTTGTCTGAGTTAAGTTCATTATCCTTGAAATAAAGGTTTATCAGAGTTATCTGCATTTGGGTCCTGCTTC